CCAGGCCAGCCTGGGGAGCACCTGGAAAGAACTGGTTTCCCTCTGCCCCACCCCAAGAACAAGAGAACCGTGGTCTGGGAGACCGTGTGGATGAGCAAACCCCAAATGGACAGGGAGGGAGGGAGGGGGGTGCAGAGGGGCTTGGGGCCACAGGCTGCGCGTGCGTGGACTCGGCGCACTTGGTAAAGAAGCTGGGAGCTGGGGGAAGGTCGTGGGCAAAGCTTGAGCGTCTGCTTACAAGGCCGGTGCCCGACGGTGGAAGACTCGGGAAGATGGCGCAGGCCTGCTGGGAGACTGCAGGCAAGAGGATAAAAGAAAGCTCAAGGCTGGCCTGGCTGCTTAGTGAGACCTTGTCTCCAAAAGCAAAGAGAGGGCTAGGAGCATGGTCTGTGGTAGAGCCCCTGCCTAGAATCCCCCAGTGAGGGGCTGGGGCGTGGCTCAGGGGTAGAGCCCCTGCCTAGAATCCCCCAGTGAGGGGCTGGGGTGTGACTCAGTGGTAGAGCCCCTGCCTAGAATCCCCATTGAAGGTATGAGGGGTTGTCTTGGTGCTTAACATGCTCAGTGTTCGAGACCCTAGTTTCAGCTCCCAGTACAGGGGAAAACACAAACACTGCACAGGCCGTTTCCGCTTCTCCTTCTTCTCTGGTGTCCTTGGCTGTAGACTTAGCACCTTCCCCTCGCCACGCCTCCCCATTCTTAGCTGGCACCCCTCTTTGCATCAAACGCCCCCATTTGGTAAGAATACCTTTTAAACTAGGAACTCGCCGTGTTTTGGTACGAGCTATCTGTTTGCCGCCGTTGTTTAATTCTCAGAGTCGGACCCTGCCTGCCAAGTCCCCTCAGAAATCCCTTCAGCACTCTGGGCAAATCACTGGTCTTTGCCTCCAATGCGCTCATTGATGAGATACTGGTCCCGCCATATTTCACACTGAATTAATTAATGACTAATTTGTGTGCACATGTGTGGAGGTCAAACGGCAGCTTATAGGGGTCAGAAGTTCTCTCTACCATGTGGCCTCAGGAATCGAACTCCAGGTTGTCAGGTTTGGCGTGTGCCTTTACCTGGCCGTCTCACCCGTTCCGGTCACTCCATTTTTACTGGTGAGACACCAGGGTTTGGCAGAAGAAGTGACCTTTGCTCACTTACCCAGGTGGCCAGCGTCTGCTTGAGCAGATGGGCGGGCGCCAGCAGGGAAAGGCGCCGACCCGGTGGTGGGAGGCGGAGCCCACAGCCCGGTGAGATGTGAGATCCTCCTTTTGGTGCGGTGCTCCATGCCTGGAATCTCAGAACTCGGGAGGCAGAGGCAGGAGAAGCAGAAGTTCAAGGTTGTCCTCAACTACATCTCAAGAGTGAGACCCACAAGAGACTGTGTCTCGGCCGGCCGTTGGTGGCGCACGCCTTTAGTCCCAGCACTCGGGAAGCAGAGACAGGAGGATCTCTGTGAGTTCCAGGACAGCCTGGTCTACAGAGCGAGTTCCAGGACAGCCTCCAAAACTATACAGAGAAACCCTGTCTTATAGAAAATAAAAACAAAGCAAATAAACAAAAAACCCACTTGTTTTATTTATGTGCACGTGTGTGCATGTGTGTGCGTGTGCACGAGTGCGTGTGTGCGTGCGCGCGCTCATGTGCTTGCACTCTCAAGCTCACCCGCAAGGCCACAGACAAAGGCAGGATGGTTCTCCCCTGCCCTGCAGATCCCAGGACTCAAACTCACACCGTCAGGATATGCAGCACGTGCCTTTCCCAGTTGGTCCATCCCGCCATCTCCCTGAGAAGCAATTCTCAAAGCGAAGACATCTAGATTCAGGGTAAATGAAAAAAAAAATGAACCAAGTGTGGGCTACAGATTTTCTAAAGGAATGGTTGAGAAACTGACCAACGCCTGCAGATGCTCAGGATGCCCACGAGGGGTCGGCAGAGTCCAGGCTCTGTCTCAGATTTCGGCAGTGCGGTGGCTTGAAGAGGGAGGCCTTCAAAGGGCAAAATGGACAGGAAGCATAGAAAATGAACGTCCCTTTCTTGCGGGGCCACACCTTTAATCCCAGTACTCAGAGGGCAGGTGGGCTTCTGTAAGTTAGGGCCAGCCTGTCCTACACAGCACGTTCCAGACTCACCAGGGCTACATAGTGAGACTCCGTCTCAAAAACAAACAAACAAACAAACAAACAAACACACAAACAAACAAGCACACAAACAAGGGGGCTGGAGAGATGGCTCAGTGGTTGAGAGCACTGGCTGTTCTTCCAGAAGACGTGGGTTCGATTCCCAGCACCCACATGGCGGCTCACAGCTGTCTGTAACTCCAGTTCCGGGGGACCCGACCCCCTCACACAGACACACACGCCAGCAAAACACCAATGCACATAAAATTAAGAATAAATATATATATATATAAAAAACAGAGCCATCCCCAAGGGCTGGAGGGAGGACTCCGTGGCAAACTGCTTTTTACACGAGTGTGAAGATTTGAGTAGGATCCGCAGAATCACATACGGACGGGCCGGTAGCCTGCACCCGTGACCCCCGTGTTCCTGTGCTGAGACAGGAGTCAGCGGTGGAAGAATGCCTGGACACCGGTGGCTTAGCTTAGTTTGTTATAGGCAGCAGAGCAAGAAGACAGCTTGTCTCAAGCCGGGCAGAAAGGAAGTCAGAGGAAACCAGAGGCTGTCCTCATGTTCTCTGTGTCATACATGTGACCACACACACACACACACACACACACACACACGTTTACAAGAATGAAAAGAATAAAACGGAAAACTCACACCCAACAAAGATGCCTCAGCAGATACAGGTGCTCGCCGCCAAGCCTGACAACCGAGTTCAATGCCCCAGGCCCACCCGGTGGAGGGAGACAGAGCCAACTCCCTCAAGTTGCCCCCTGACCTGTGTGTGCTCCGCTGCGCACATACAAACACATGTAAAATAAGGCGTGTCCAAAATGTTCAGGCTCGTAGCAGCGAAGTGAACCTGAGGCATGATCTAGCTCTTGTTGGGCAGAGGGTGGGACTGGGTCCAAATGTTCATGTGATTCCCCCAGAGCTGACGGGAGAGCTGGGTCTGCAAACAGAGCCTCGGACGCCCATCTCTCAGGAGCTCTGCAAAGAAGCAGGAACTTTGTCCTAGGGGAAAGCAGAGGACTTGGGCTTTAAAAAAATTATTATTCTTGTGTGTATTTAGAATGTGCGTGCATGTGTGCCTGTGTGTTTGCACACCTGTGTGTGCCTGTGTGTGCACCTGTGTGTACCTGTGTGTGCGCCTGTGTGTGCGCCTGTGTGTGCGCCTGTGTGTGCCTGTGTGTGCCTGTGTGTGTGCCTGTGTGTGTGCCTGTGTGTGTGCCTGTGTGTGCCTGTGTGTGTGCCTGTGTGTGCCTGTGTGTGTGCCTGTGTGTGCCTGTGTGTGTGCCTGTGTGTGCACCTGTGTGTGCGCCTGTGTGTGTGCCTGTGTGTGCCTGTGTGTACGCCTGTGTGTGTGCCTGTATGTGTGTCTGTGTGTGCACCTATGTGTGTGCCTGTGTGTGCGCCTGTGTGTGCCTGTGTGTGTGCCTGTGTGTTTGCCTGTGTGTGCCTGTGTGTGCCTGTGTGTGTGCCTGTGTGTGCCTGTGTGTTTGCCTGTGTGTGCCTGTGTGTGCCTGTGTGTGTGCCTGTGTGTGTGTCTGTGTGTGTGCCTGTGTGCGCCTGTGTGTGCGCCTGTGTGTGCCTGTGTGTGTGCCTGTGTGTGTGCCTGTGTGCGCCAGTGTGTGTGTCACACATGGAGAGCAGAGAGCAAAGTCAGGCGTCCTGTGCTCTCCGTCTCCACTTGGTTTCCTTCAGGTGGGGCCCGGATCTGCAGTGAGGCTGGCAGCCGGGGTTACAGACCCACCTGTGTGAGTGACCATCCGTGCACGGCTTTTTTTTTTTTTTTCTTGAGACAGGGTCGCATCATGTGGCTTCGGCTGACCTGGAATTCACAGAGATCCGCCTGCCTCTGTTTCCCGAGAGCAAGGATTGAAGTTGTGAACCACCACACCTGGCAATCACAGTTTTTTTTTTTTTTTGGTTTTTCGAGACAGGGTTTCTCTGTATTGTTTTGGAGGCTGTCATGGAACTCACTTTGTAGACCAGGCTGGCCTTGAACTTACAGAGATCTGCCTGCCTCTGCCTCCCGAGTGCTGGGAGCAATCACAGTTTTAAAAGTGCATTTAATTACTTTTTTTGTGAATGTATATGTTTGCCAGTGTATGCACACGTGTCACTGTGCATATGTGATGATATGTATACCTATGCATGTGTGTGCACACACGTGTCACCATGCATATGTGACAATCGGAGGACAGTTTGCCAAAGTTGTTTCTCTCCTTCTATCAGGTGTGACGTGACAGGAAGCCCCTCTACCCGTTGAACTATTCCACCAGTTTTCTGCCTCTTAACTGGGATTCTGGGGATTTGAACTCAGGTCTTCATGGTTGCCCCAAAGCTGTTCTTATTCACTGAGCTGTCTCTCCAGCCCCTAAACAGCTTGATCCTCTTTCTGCCTCCTGTTGTGAACAGATGTGATCCTGCCTCACGACATTCCCCAGAGATCAGAAAATGCTGCTGAGGAGAGCTAAGGGTGGCACCTTCCTTGGGGGAAGATATTCCCTCTTCCAGTATTGAGGGACGAATTACATCCTGGAGGGAAGAGGAGCCCAGCAGATGTGGCCCAGGAGCCAGCATAACGTGGCAAGTAGAGAAAGTTCTAGAACCTATAGAACTTGCAACCAATTTGTTTTGGTTGCTTTTAGTTATTATAAGCGTGTATGGGAGATAGGGATATGGTTAAGAGTGTTATTGCTCTTACTGAGGGACTTGAGTTCACTTCTCAGTACCAAATACTCACAATAGCCTGTTACTCCAGCCCAGAGGATCCGATGCCCTCTCCTGGCCATCACTAGCAATTGCACACACACGGATACGCACATACACACAATTAAAAACAAAATAAATCTTAAAAAATAATTGTATTTACATAGGAAAAATTAGAATGCACCAAAATAAAAGCTTTAATCATAACCAATCTCAGAAAGACACTCAAGATTAAGCATGACCTCGTGAAGACAGACGGTCTATATTAAAAGCAGTAGTGTTTTCCATGGAAATGGGATGTAATCTTTCTTAGAAGAGTGTTTAGCAGATGCTAAAACGCAGCCCAGAGTCAAAGCGATCATTAGCAAAGGGTATGGGGCACTGTCCTTGGTGCTGAATCGGACTTCGGGCTCCGGGAGGCGTCGCCTGCCATCATGCCACGCCCACGGCAGGTTCCACACTTTGAATTCCCAGCACTGCTGTCTCTCTGGCATTCATTCTTGCTAACCACAGGATCTAGTTTCCAGTAAGTCCCCGCGGGGAACTCTCAATGGAGGTGTGTTCCAACAGGGAGCTCTCCTCAGTCCTCAGCTCCAAGCGTCCATGCGAAACTGCTTGTGTGTTAGTGTTTACAATGACGTCATGACTATCTCGGGCCTCTGAATCTGGATCTGAAAAGAGAAGCCGGCGCGGGTGAGGGCTGAGCACAGGAGAAGTCCAGTGTTGGGAGCACTTAAGACTTGGGCTTCTAACCCTGCAACTACCCAGGCCCAGAACCGGGGCCGTGGGTTGGCCCACCCCAGTGTCCACCCCATCTACCATCTGCTGGAGCACGGGAAGGGGCCTGGTCCTGCAGACCCAAAGCTGCAGGGTCTCCACAACGCAGGGCAACAGCAGGACAGCCAAGAGGAGACCCAGCGAGGGCCCAGCATCGGCAGTGTGCAGAATCCAGAGGCCCCGGCCAGACCAATGGCTCACGGCAGTGAACACTTGCAATAAAGACCCATGGATAAAAGGGTTCACTGCATGACCCACTGTGCAACACTGCAGCTTCCACGACGAGATCCCCTCCCCCTTCCTTTTCTTTTTTTCTCTTAAATTTTATCTGGGGGGGGCAGGGAACGCTGAAGGGCAGGAAATGAATGGGATCGGGATGTATGGCGTGAAAGACACACAGAAAAAATAGAAAGAAAGTTAAAAAACAAAGACTCGGGTCTGTAGAAGCGCAGCAGGAGTTTGTCTCTAAAGAAACTATCACATTTTCCTTCCTTCCTTTTTTTTTTTGAGACAGGGTTTCACTGGCTGTCCTGGCACTCACTCTGTAGACCAGGCTGGCCTCAAAGTCTACCTCCCGAGTGCTGGGATCAAAGGTGCGGGTCACCACGCTGAACCCACAGTTTATTTCTTGCGGGGGCACGCGCATGTGTGACGGCATGCATACGGAGAGGCCCAAGAACAACCTGTGGGGGTCAGTTTTCTCCTACTGTGTGCGTCCTGGGGATTGAACTCAGGTTGTCAGGCTTGAAGGCAAGCGTCTTTACCCACTGAGTCTTCTTGCCAGACCTGGAATTTGTCTAATTTTTGAAGTCTAGTACAAGCTAGTCGCATCCTCCCGTCCTAGCCAGTTGGATTTGGTAAAACCCTGTCCAAGGGTTGATCGCTTCTCCACCCTGCAAGACTTTTCCTGTCCTCAGATACCCTGCATACTTGAAAAGAAACGTTTAGAGACAGTCTCAGGCAGCCCAGGCTGGCCCTAAACCCACACCAAGGAAGACCATGAATTTCCAATCCTTTTTGCTTCTACCTCCCAAGTGCTGGGACGACAGGCATGCACCCCAGTTTATGGAGTAGTGGGCTGGGGCCCAGGGATTTGTGCACGGATAGGCAGCCCCTCTACCAACTGAGTTCCACGCCCAGCAGTAACTGTAACTGAAGACTGTAACAACTTGGTGACACTCAAGAGGCCGGGGTTGCAGGAGCACAAGTTTGGTGCCAGCCTGGGCTACACAGTAAGACCCTGTCTCAAAATGTCTTAAAAGGAGACTTATTCATTTTAATACTTCACACGTACGAGTGTTTGCTGTGTGGATGTAAATGCACCATTTACATGCCTGGCGCTCATGGGGTTCAACTAGAGGGACAGACTCCCTGGAACTAGAGTAATGGATGGTTGTGAGCCACGACGTGGGTTCCGGGAACCAAACACAGTCCCTGTAGGAGCAACGAGTTCTCTTCCTCACTGTACCATCTCCCCAGACCCCCTCCCAAAATTAACTCTTAAATAACTAGGGCATCAAGGGCATCCCTGCGGCACAGAGAGAAACGAGCCTGGGGCTTCCTCTCCCCAAGTCCCTGCACTTCCAAGTGACACTACTACAGTGTGTTCCAGAGGTCACTGCCAGGACCCTGGTCATAGACACTACGGCCTTGCTTGCCTGAGGGTCCCACCAGTAGAAGGGACGGCAGACGGCTCAGGGCACAGGAAGTGGGTTCATCTGGGTCATTCTTACCTTTTCTTCCGGGTTTATATGGCTTAGGGAGGCCTCGAAGTTGCTGTACATGGAGCCCAAGTGGACATAGTTTTCTCCTTCTAAGGGAGGGAGCCCAAAGAGACAGGTGGTTAGAAAACGTTCATCAGTCGCTCCAGCCCCACTGATGGGGAGGGCGTTCATCCCATGCCCACGAAACCAGAACCAATGGAAGCGTGGTAGACTGCTTGAATTAGTTGCTCCACAATAGCTCCCTGGTGTGAGCACAGTCAGGTGTGTGTGTGCAGGGGGGGGCATGACTGTAATAAGAGCACTCACGAGGCTGAGGCAGAGGCAGGAGGATGACAAGTTTGAGGTCAGTATGGGCTACACAGAGAGACTGTGTCTCAGAAATTATGCAGACAAGGCTGGATTTGAACTGGACCCACTTCCTTCGGCCACTACCAGGCCGGCCATTGTTTGCATTTTGAGACAGGGTCCCATGTGTCTCAGGCTGGCCTCAAATTCCCTATGTAGCCAAAGATGACCCTCCCGTCTGCTGGGATCACACAGGTGAACCCTACATCTGATTTATGAGGCACTGGAGACCAAACCCAGAACTCCATACACGCTAAGCAAGCCCTCCACCCACAGACTCGCGTCCCCAGCCCATTCCTGGAAATTACAATGCTTGCATCTAACAAACTACAATGCTAACCTCCGCCCCGAGATGTAAGTCTCCTGTTGGTGAGCATACTCACCGCCGGAGCCCCATCGATAGACACAGTTCTGTGTCCCAGAGGAACGGGCACCCTAGGGTGGTGCCACACAATACCCGAGTTGTATCTCACTCAGGCTCTAGGGAAGCTTTTGAATGTGAAACGCAGTGTTCCGAGGTGGGAAATCATCCCGCACCTGCCCGGGTCTCCTATGCTGCCCACCCTACCCATCATTCTGAGCTCCACAGAGATTGCCAGTACCTTCGCTGTGGTCAAACCCGACGTTGTGGATGGCTCCAGGCGTTCGGCCTTCCTCCTCATTCCACTGCTGCATCTGGGACACTTTGAGCGTTTGCCTGTTGGTGGAAGACACCATGGGACCCGGTTATGATCACGGAGTAGAGACAAAGACCCAGGATGAGCTACACCTCTGCTCCCGGCAACCCAGCGAGAGAGAAGGCAGAGGGTCAGGAGGGCGCGGGGCGTGGCGTGGCGCGGGGCTGGGCGTGGCGCGGGGCGTGGCGCGTGGCGGGGCGCCGGCCGCTTACCTTTTCGCCTCTCTTTTGAAGCTCATGGAGAACACAGCGAGGACCACGAGGATCACCAGCAGCACGGCCACCCCGGCTCCCACTAGCCCGTACACCAGGCTTTTCTGGATGCCCCAGTCGCAGGTCTCCCCGCTGTACCAGTGAGTGTCTGTGGTCAGGCAGCTGACGGGGAGGAGGGCAGAGAGGAGAGAGGAGTGGTCACACTCTGGCCTTCCCTTCTGCTCTGGCCACCTGCTGCTGCCATGCCTTCCTCACCGTCGTGAGCCCCCGGAACCACATAGCAAAATAAGTGCTCTTCCGTATGTTGCTTTTGATCATGGTGTTTTTATCACAGCAGCGGAAAGTAATTAAACTGGTTTGTAGCTTGCGCACCACGTGCATGCAGTACCCATAGCAACCAGATGAGGGCATCATATTCTAGAAGTGGACATCTCTCTAGTCCATGCGTGGCTTTTACATGGGTGCTGGGGATCCACACTCAGGCGGTCATGCATGGCAAGCACTTCATTAACTGAGCCATCTCCCAGCCCTTGATATATATAATATTTTGGAGACAGAGCCTCTCTCGGGGTAGCTCAGACTGACTTCGAACTCATGACCCTCCTGGATCCTCTGTCCTCCTACGTGCTGGTATCACAGACCACGCGCAGTGTTCAGTTTTCAATGCCTTCTATGACTAGGCTATTAGGGGTCCCTGTTCCCAGGGAGACACATAGACCTTTCTTTACCTATTCAGTTGCAGGGGACATTTAAAAGTTATAAAATTACATTTATTTACTCTGTGTGCACGTGTGTGTGTGTCTATGAGTGTGAGCATGAGTGAGTGTGAGTGTGAGCATGTGTGAGCGCGTGCGTGCGTGCGCCTATGAGCGTGAGAGTCTGTGCATGAGTGTGTAAGTATGTACGTGTGAGTGTGCATGCATGTGTAAGTATGTGCGTGTGAGTGTGCGTGTGCTTATGAGTGTGTGCGTGTGTGCGTGCACGCGCGCGCGTGCGCGCTGTGGAGGTCAGAGAACAACTTGCAATGCTGGTTCCCTCCTTCTACCATGTGGATCCCGGGGATTGAGCTCGGGTCATCAGGGTTAGCGGCAAGTGCCTTTACCCACTGAGACACCTCCCGGGCTGTGGGACACAAGATCTCTCTCTGGGAGGAGGCCCCGCGTCCTCTGCTAGCCTGGGAGCCTCCTGAAGGGGGAGCAGCCACGGCTCATTCTGCCTTGGAGCCTTTCCTACTGGGTTGGGCTTCAGTGCGCTCTAGACTTCATGCGTGTCCCTTTAACCTGCAACCTGACTCTTTTACGACTGTATACTTTCAAGAGACGCAGTGTGGTGCATGACAGTCTCAGGGCTCCAGGAGAGGAGCCACCCCACGGGCAACGTGCCGTACTCACAGGCACCGGGGGCCACTTCGCTGCAGCTGGCATTTGCCGTAGTGGCAGTCCAAGGAGGTTTTGTAGCCTGCTGAGCAGGCCGTGATACAATGCACCTTATCGTCCTTGGTCTCCGAGAAGATATAGTCTGCATACTCCTTTCCAGCTTGCAGCCGGCATGTGTCTGGGGGGGACACGAAAGACCAGCTAAGAATCAGGAGGCCTGGCTCCCCCCTGCCCGCCCCGCCCCCTTCCGGCTTTCCCAGAACGGGTCACATTACATACCGTTAGGGGTGACAAAGTCTGAAATATTTTGCACCCTGGTGGCAGAAGAGTCGAAACACAGTTCATCTGTGAAGGAAACGCGTTACACTGTCATCACAGAGGCTCCTTCAGCCCTTCGGTGTGTGGGGGAGGGGAAGGGCTGAGACATGTTCTCAGCAGGCTGTGTGTTTGGACACTTGGCTTCCAGATGATAACACTGTTTGGGGGGAGATTGTGGGACCTTTTCGGCATGGGTCTTCCCTGGTTAATGTAGGAGCCAGGCTGGAAGGCTATAGGCTACTCCGGAGCCGTTTGCTTGGAGGAATTTCTTCTTTTTTTAAGGCAATGTCTCACTGAGTGGATAGCTCTAACTTCCTGGAATTCAACACATGATCAGGTTGGCCTCCAACCCAGAGATCCGCCTGCCTCTGACTCCCCAAGGGCTGTGTTTAAAGGTGTGCACCACCGCATAGGCTAGGTAAGGACTTCATAAGGGACAGCACAGAGCAGGCTTCTGCTGCCACAGGGCTGCCTGAGCCATGCCTGCCCATCCAGGGGAAATTGTACCCCTCCTCTTTCGCCTTGTTTCTGCCAGTCTGCCCACGGCACTTTAACTAGTGGGTGTGGAAGCCGGAAATCGCAGGAGGAGATGCCAGGCTCCCAGCTCGCTGGTGGGCCGCACTCAGAGGGTCTTAGTGGGTCTCAGCAGGTCTTAGTGGGCCTCAGAGGGTCTTAGTGGGTCTCAGTGTATCTTAGTGGGTCTCAGCGGGTCTTAGTGGGTCTCAGCGGGTCCGCACACTATTCATTGTATTTAGAAGATTCACTATGTGGTCAGTCATGTGATGCTCCATCTGTCCCGAGTCCCCTCAATGTTGACACTTCAGAGGATTTCTCCATCTCTGTACTGCTCCGTGTCTTCCCTTCCAAAGCTTCCTTGGAGTGTTACAGGAGTGACAAGTCCTAGCTCTGGACACAGGTCCCATGACCTACACTAGCCTTCCTTCACTGCACCCCATCTGTCCCAGGGTCAAAACTCAGGGAGGTGGGGAGATCAATGAGTTGTCACCCTCTGAGGACACTTCCCTCCAGGAGTGCTTTACCTGAGCATTGTTGTTTGGTTGCATTCTCGATGGTTTTCCTCACGTTGCTGCTGACGTTCTGTAACACGTTTTTGTATTCTGGGGTGTACGGGGCCTTCAGGATGACATCGTAGTCCACCACGATACTGCCCTTCCTGGGGAGAGAGCGGTGGTACCCTTGAGCATCACTCTATGGCCACCCCTGCCACTCATCTTTGACATCCCTTGCCTCCTCCACAATCCCTGGGCGGGATCCCAGGCAAGAGGATTGAGAACTTAGGGCTAACCTGGGCTGTGTAGTGAGTTCAAGCTAGCCTGGAGCACAGAGCAAGACTTTATCAGGAAGGACAGAGGAGGGAGAGACAGAGACAGACACAGACACAGACACAGACATACACATGCACGTATCGGGGAGCACTGGAGAGCTCAGCTAGTTAATGATGTCTCTGTTGTATAAACACAGAGTTCAGGCACTCAAGTAAGAGCTGGACGCCACGGCACACATCTGTAACCCCAGCACCAGGGAGAGCGGAGGCTGCTGCATCCCTTGATCTCCTTGGCCAGTGAGCCCAGCGGAATTGGCGAATCCCTGGCTAAATGAGAGACCCAGTCACTAAAAACAGGGTGGAGACAGAGAGAGTGGAGACTGGCACACAGAGGGCCCAGGGAAAGGCACCATCCTTTGATCTCAGACTTCCGGGCACCAGAGATTTCTGTTGTTCAAGCTACAACCACTGGCGTTCCTGCACAGCACCCATGGTTAACACAGGTAGCCCCCCAAATGACCTCTGCAATCACGGCCATCGTTCCCATGCATAAGCCTTTCTTCCTGCCAGACCCAGGCACTCACCTCAGCGATTTGATGACAACCCCTTCATACTCAGGGATTCCAGCGTAAATCTCCTTCATCTGAAAGGCAAGGGGCCAAGGTGTCATCATCCCAGAAGTCCCACCTTGGGGACTTTAGTACGTCCCAATCCATCCCACCTGACAGCGACAGAGACCAAATAGAAAGTTCCCTTGTGAGAGATCAGCTCTGTCCCGGCTCCCTCTTGCAGCTCCGAGGCAAATCTCCTCACCTGCCCGGGCTAGCTAAGCACACACATCTAACATATTCAGCTGTCATTGTAACCCCTCCGGTGGCTGTGGTGCGGGGCGGGGTAGGGGACTGAATGGCCCTGGGCGGGTGTCTCCCAGGGTTACCTGTTTAGTGAATGTCTCATTGAACTTCTTGAATTCCTCGGATTCTTTGTTCTCTAGCTCATTGCTGTATTCTTGACTGGTTACTGTCACGCTCACTTCCACGGCTGCAGAGACTGTGTTCTCTAAGTGGGACAGACAGAAACACTGACCATTGATTGAGAGGGACCCTTGCCAATGAAATCTTCACCCCAGGTAGCCCCACACTGGAGGCAGGGAGTGACACAGGCCTCCTCCAGCATACTGCCCCCTGGAGGAAGGGAGGCACACTGTATTCCTTAGGGGTTATGGATGACAGCTTGATGGGACCCAGAATGCCCCAGAGCTTATGGTAGAGTTACATCCTGAGAAGTCCAATACATATTGAACGTTTCATCAATGAAAATTGCATTTAGCCTGGGCATTCATCTGGGGGTGGAACTCAGTGGTAAAATGTTTGCTTAGCAAGAACAAAGCTTGGGTTTTATCTCCAGACACACACACACACACACACACACACACACACACACACACACACACATTCATGCACACATAGCATTTGATCCATCTAACCTACAACAAATTCAGGAGCACAACCCACTGTGAATGTTAGATGATCACTTCTTTTTTCTTTTCTTTTTTTTGGGGGGGAGGGGCAGGGAGACAGGGTCTATATGTCCTTGGCTGTCCTGGAACTCACTATGTAGAGGAGGTCAGGCTGGAGCTCATAGAAATCCTCCTGCCTCTGCCTCCCAAGTTCTGGGATTAAAAGTGTGTGCCACCACACCCAGTCTGATGGTTCTTCTGTGTGTCCGTGTGTCTGCTTGTGGGAGCTACACCTCAGCATTTAAAGAGAGGATAGCACCACATGTCACCAGCCTAGGAGAAGATGCATGTTTAAAATTTGAAGTAGGGTTTGCACGGAACAGCTATTACTTTTTCAGCATGATAAAGTAAAAATAAATTCTGAGCTGGGGAGGCCTTTAATCTCTGCACTGGGGAGGCAGAGACAGGTAGATCTCAGTGAGTTCTACCTGGTGTACAAAGCTAGTTACAGGACAACCAGGACTGTTACATAGAGAAACCCTGTCTTGAAACCCACCCCAACAATAAAATAACTTGTGGGTGTGGGTGGATGTGCTCCTGTAGCTGTGTGTTGAGGACAGCATCCACGGCCGCGATTCAGACACTGTCCACTTTGTTTTTGGGATAGGGTCTCTCACTGCTATGGAGATGGACATGAAGGCAGGGCTGGCTGGTCAGCTAGCCCGAGGGATCCGCTTGAGTCTGCTTTTCCCAAGGCTGGGATCACAGGATGTACAACCCCACCCCCTGTTTTCCACGTTAGGTTCTAGGGATTGAACTCAGGCCCTTACGGTTGTAAGGCAAGCACTTTACCAACCAAGCTATCCTTCCTGCCCAAAGTAAAAAAGCTACGACTCCAACATGGCAGACTGGGGGTCACCACCCCTTTGCAAATACGTTGTGGTTATTTAGGCTGGGGCTCTTGTGGAACTCCTAACATTGGGAGTTGGGGTGTTTCTGACTCTTTTGCCTGCTCTTAGGACCCTTTTCTTCCCACTGGATGGTCTCATCCAGCCTTGATACGAGGGTGTGAGCCTAGTCTTAGTGTGATTTGTTATGTCCTGTTCGGTTGATATCCCTGGGAGGCCTGCTCTTTTTTGAAAGAAAACAGAGAAGGAGTGGATCTGTCGGGGGACTAGAAGGATTGGAAGGAGGGGAGGATGTGGTCGGGATTTATTCTATGAGAATAAATAAATAAATAAAAAGTAATAAATAAGTAAACTAATAAACAAAAAGAAACAGTAACATGTTTGACACAGGATGTTACTGTGTAGCCCAGGCTGGCCTTGAACTCTTGACTATCCTGTCTCAGCCTCCTGGTGCTGGGTTTATAGGCCTAAGCTGCTATGTCTGCCTTTGCACTCATTTAAGTTTATTTCTGTTAAAATGCTGTGATGCATTTATATTTTTGTTTCTAAATATACCTTCTTGATCGATTCTTATTTATTTTTATTAAGCGTTTTTAAAATTTACATATATAGTGTTCCGCATACACGCCAGAAGAGGGCGCCAGATCACATTACGGATGGTTGTGAGCCACCATGTGGGTGCTGGGAATTGAACTCAGGACCTCTGGAAGAGCAGTCAGTGCCATTAACTGCTGAGCCATCTCTCCAGCCCCTATTAAGCGTTTTTGAGGCTTATTTTCTCTTACACGTGTGGGTGTGCTGTCTTTATGTACTTACATGCACTGGTGCGTATGTTTGGTGCTCAGGAAGGCCAGAGAGGGCCTCGGATCTGCTGGAACTGGAGGTACAGAAGGTTGTGAGCCGCCATGTGGGTGCTCATTCTTATATGTGTACTGCTGCATGGTGTGTGTGTGTGGGTTCATGTGCGGATATGAGCGCCATGTGTGCCTGCACATGGAGGTCAGAGGTCAACACCAAGCGTCTTTCTTCATCGATTTCTGCCTTATTTTCTGAGTCAGGGTCTCTCGCGGGGCTTGGAGAGCGCCACTTTGGGCAGGCCGGCCGGCCAACGAGCTCTAGGCACCCATCGTTCTCTGCCTCCCCTCCCCCTTCCCCCCACCCCCCTCTGGGATTATGGGGGCACACTGCCACACCCAGCCTTTTAACTGCTGTGCTGGGGACCAAGCACTTTACCAACTGAGGTGTCTCTGCAGCCCCTGGTCCCTTTTGTTCATTTTATACTTGCATTTGTTTTCTATTTGTGTGCGGAGGGTGCTGCGTGTGTGCCCATGTGCCGTGCATGTGTGTGGAGCTCACAGGACAGCTCGTGGGAGCCAGTATCCTCCTTCCACAGTGGGGTCCCAGCAATTGAACTCTCCTCTTCCCGCTTGGTGACCAGAGCCATCTTGCCTGCCTCTTTTTTTCTTTCATTTAAAAAATTATTATTATTAGCCGGGCGGTGGTGGCGCACGCCTTTAATCCCAGCACTCGGGAGGCAGAGGCAGGCGGATCTCTGTGAGTTCGAGGCCAGCCTGGTCTACAAAGCGAGTTCCAGGACAGCCTCCAAAAGCCACAGAGAAACCCTGTCTCGAAAAACCAAAAAAAAAATTATTATCATTTTTACCATTAGGTAAAAGTAAAACTATGGGTGACCGGAGGGATGGTTCAGTGATTAACAGGGTGCATTGCATTTGTGGGCGAATGGAGTTCAGTTCCCAGCAGCCTGGTCAGGCAGCGCAGTCACCTGTAACTCAAGTTTTAGTTGATCCAACACTTTCTTCTGGCCTCTGTGGGTGCCCACACATGGGGCACATGCATGTGTGAATACACATGTGACTGCACACATTCACACACACTCACATGTATGCTCACACACTCACATGCATGCTCACACACGCACGCACAAGGCTCTCACATACTCACACACTCTTGCTTGCACATGTGTGCACAACACGCTCCCTTACACAGGCTCACACACACACACGTTCACTCACATACACACACGCTCACACACACGCTCACAGGCTCACACACACATGCTCACACACATAAATAGATCTTTTTTAAAAACATAGCCCATAAGGGGTAGGGCAAGACAGGAGCCTGCCGGGGACCTTCTGTGCTGGGTGCCGTGCCGGGGAGCCTGACGGGGACTCCTGTGCTGGGTGCCGGGGAGTCCGCCCTGCCACACTTTGTATGGAGTCGTCACTCACCGATCTCGAAGCTCTCCACCACATCCTCACACCGCGGCCCGTAGAAGAGGCTGGTGCACTGGCATTTGAGGCCGTCCCACACGCCTCCATTCTGGCAGGTGACCACGGGGACTGAGTCCTGACAGAGATTCCCCGTGAAGCCATTGGGGCACAGACAGACGTACCCGTTCCAGGACCCTCCATTCTGGCAGCTCGCTGCGAGAGACCAAGGCAAGATCTAGCATACACATTTGTGTAGGAAGCTGCGACTTGACGTGTCCCAGACACGGCTCCCCTCGCTCTCTGTCCTTGCTTTTTTCTTATGCCTTCCCTCTTTTCTTTCTCCTTTTTTATTCTCTTCTTCCCCCTCCCCTGTTTCTGAGACAGTTTCTCATTAGGTAGCTTAGGCTCGCTTTGAACTTGCAATCCTCTCGCCTCAGCTGCCTGAGTCCTGGGGTTAGGGGTCAGGAATGTACCGCCGAGTCTTGTTGACACCCAGTGTCCCTGCGTGATCGGACATTCTGAGAAGACCCTATATTCACAGCACAGTCAGCATCACCGTCGCTGCGCAGACAGATGTAGACAGAACCCTGTCCAAGCGTCCAGAGAGCTTGACTGGACCCTGTCCGGGAGTTCAGCTCCCATCCCATTATCTCAGACGCATGGAGGAGAAACGGTTGTAAAGTAATCGGCATACAGGAAACAGAGACAGAGCCTGGGTGAGTCCCGGCTGCTGACCATGGAGAGGCCACCAAGCGTGGGAACGGGCATCAGGCTTGCCCCTCGATGTCCAAGAAGAGCCTGGGCTGGAATGTTAGGCTGTTACAATTGTTTATAGTTCCTGCCAGCTAGAGACAGAGAGCTTGGCGGAGAGACTTTGTTAGATAATCGGTAACTACTTATAACTCCTCGTGATCAGTGCAGATCAACTTGAAATAGCTGACATTCCCTTTGTCTAATTTATTTATGCAATGCTGTGTGTGTGTGTGTGTGTGTGCGCAGAGTTCAGTGGTTGTGTCCAGTGTCTTTATCTGTTGCCCACACTATTTACATCTTTATTTTTAGGTCATGTCTCACTGAGCTGGACAGTGAGACTCAGGGATCCTCCTGTGGCTGCCTTGGACGAGCATGCCCAGATTTTTATGTGGGCTCTGCGGATCTGGGCTCAATTCCATCCTTGCATAGCTCCGCTGTAATGATGGAGCCAACTTCCCAAGCCTCATTCGTTCACCCATTCTCAGGATCTCTCTGTCTCTCTCTCTCTCTCTGTCTCTGTCTCTGTCTCTCTCTCTCTTTCACTCTCTCATATAGTCTGAACTAGGTTGGAACATACTGTATCATTTTTCTGGCTTTGGCCACAAGAGTGAATGCACCACCAACGCCCCACTAATTTTTATTTTACATATATCAAACGTTTGAAAGTTTTCCGTTTTCCTTATCACCCTCCTACTGTGAAAAAGAACCTTAAGGTGTATTCAATAATATAGTATTGTAAATGCTTAAAAACCTTAACTGCATTAAGCATTATGGGTGGAGCCTGTAACGCCTTTAATCCCAGCACTCGGGAGGCAGAGGCAGGCGGATCTCTGTGAATTTGAGACCAGCCTGGTCTACAGAGCGAGTGCCAGAACAGCCTCCAAAGCCACAGAGAAACCCTGTCAGAGAAAAAAGGAGAGCAAAAGGAAAGTAATGGAAAGAAAATCGAGAATTATCAGGACCATGGCTGATATGACAGCAAATAGAAACCCTGAAGATAAAGGAAGAGCTGAAGAGAAAACGAAACACGAAGAAACACAGGAGAAACGGGTAAAACAGGAAAAAAGCAGAGGTGGAACCAATCACTCACCTGCGGTAATGGAGGACACAGGCGTGGTGGTCGTAGTGGTCGTAGGTTGAGGGGTGGATTCAGTTGCAGGGGTGGATTCAGTTGCAGGGGTGGATTCAGTTGCAGGGGTGGATTCAGTTGCAGGGGTGGTGTCAGTTGCAGGGGTGGATTCAGTTGCAGGGGTGGTGTCAGTTGCAGGGGTGGTGTCAGTTGCAGGGGTGGTGTCAGTTGCAGGGGTGGATTCAGTTGCTGGGGTGGATTCAGTTGCAGGGGTGGATTCAGTTGCAGGGGTGGTGTCAGTTGCAGGGGTGGTGTCAGTTGCAGGGGTAGATTCAGTTGCAGGGGTGGTGTCAGTTGCAAGGGTGGATTCAGTTGGAGGTGTGGTGTCAGTTGCAGGGGTGGTGTCAGTTGCAGGGGTGGATTCAGTTGCAGGGGTGGATTCAGTTGCAGGGGTGGATTCAGTTGCAGGGGTGGATTCAGTTGCAGGGGTGGTGTCAGTTGCTGGGGTGGATTCAGTTGCAGGGGTGGATTCAGTTGCAGGGGTGGATTCAGTTGCAGGGGTGGTGTCAGTTGCTGGGGTGGATTCAGTTGCAGGGGTGGTGTCAGTTGCTGGGGTGGATTCAGTTGCAGGGGTGGATTCAGTTGCAGGGGTGGATTCAGTTGCACTGGTGGTGTCAGTTGCAGGGGTGGATTCAGTTGCAGGGGTTGATTCAGTTGCAGGGGTGGATTCCGTTGCAGGGGTGGATTCCGTTGCAGGGGTGGATTCAGTTGCAGGGGTGGATTCAGTTGCAGGGGTGGTTTCAGTTGCAGGGGTGGTTTCAGTTGCAGGGGTGGTGTCAGTTGCAGGGGTGGATTCAGTTGCAGGGGTGGTGTCAGTTGCTGGGGTGGATTCAGTTGCAGGGGTGGATTCAGTTGCAGGGGTGGATTCAGTTGCAGGGGTGGTGTCAGTTGCAGGGGTGGATTCAGTTGCAGGGGTGGATTCAGTTGCAGGGGTGGTGTCAGTTGCTGGGGTGGATTCAGTTGCAGTGGTGTCAGTTGCTGGGGTGGATTCAGTTGGAGGTGTGGTGTCAGTTGCAGTGGTGGATTCAGTTGCAGGGGTGGTGTCAGTTGCAGGGGTGGATTCAGTTGCAGGGGTGGATTCAGTTGCAGGTGTGGATTCAGTTGCAGGGGTGGATTCAGTTGCTGGGGTGGATTCAGTTGGAGGTGTGGTGTCAGTTGCAGTGGTGGATTCAGTTGCAGGGGTGGTGTCAGTTGCAGGGGTGGATTCAGTTGCAGGGGTGGATTCAGTTGCAGGTGTGGATTCAGTTGCAGGGGTGGATTCAGTTGCTGGGGTGGATTCAGTTGGAGGTGTGGTGTCAGTTGCAGGGGTGGATTCAGTTGCAGGGGTGGATTCAGTTGCAGGGGTGGTGTCAGTTGCAGGGGAGGATTCAGTTGCAGGGGTGGATTCAGTTGCAGGGGTGGATTCAGTTGCAGGGGTGGTGTCAGTTGCAGGGGTGGATTCAGTTGGAGGTGTGGTGTCAGTTGCTGGGGTGGATTCAGTTGCAGGGGTGGATTCAGTTGGAGTTGTGGTGTCAGTTGCTGGGGTGGATTCAGTTGCAGGGGTGGATTCAGTTGCAGGGGTGGTGTCAGTTCCAGGGGTGGTGTCAGTTGCAGGGGTGGACTCAGTTGCAGTGGTGTCAGTTGCTGGGGTGGATTCAGTTGGAGGTGTGGTGTCAGTTGGAGGTGTGGTGTCAGTTGCAGGGGTGGATTCAGTTGCAGGGGTGGATTCAATTGCAGGGGTGGATTCAGTTGCAGGGGTGGATTCAGTTGCAGGCGTTGTGTCAGTTGTAGGGGTGGTGTCAGTTGCAGGGGTGGATTCAGTTGCAGGGGTGGATTCAGTTGCAGGGGTGGATTCAGTTGCAGTGGTGTCAGTTGCTGGGGTGGATTCAGTTGGAGGTGTGGTGTCAGTTGCAGGGGTGGATTCAGTTGCAGGGGTGGATTCAGTTGCAGGGGTGGATTCAGTTGCAGGGGTGGATTCAGTTGCAGGGGTGGATTCAGTTGCAGGGGTGGTGTCAGTTGCAGGGGTGGACTCAGTTGCAGGGGTGGTGTCAGTTCCAGGGGTGGTGTCAGTTGCAGGGGTGGATTCAGGTGCAGGGGTGGATTCAGTTGCAGGGGTGGTGTCAGTTGCAGGGGTGGATTCAGTTGCAGGGGTGGTGTCAGTTGCAGTGGTGGTGCCAGTTGCAGGGGTGGATTCCGTTGCAGGGGTGGATTCCGTTGCAGGGGTGGATTCAGTTGCAGGGGTGGATTCAGTTGCAGGGGTGGTTTCAGTTGCAGGGGTGGATTCAGTTGCAGGGGTGGATTCAGTTGCAGGGGTGGTGTCAGTTGCAGGGGTGGTGTCAGTTGCAGGGGTGGTGTCAGTTGCAGGGGTGGATTCAGTTGCAGGGGTGGATTCAGTTGCATCGGTGGTGGTAGTTGCAGGCGTTGTGTCAGTTGCAGGGGTGGTTTCAGTTGCAGCGGTGGTGTCAGTTGCAGGGGTGGATTCAGTTGCAGGGGTGGATTCAGTTGCAGGGGTGGATTCAGTTGCAGGGGTGGTTTCAGTTGCAGGGGTGGATTCAGTTGCAGGGGTGGATTCAGTTGCAGGGGTCGTGTCAGTTGCAGGGGTGGTGTCAGTTGCAGGGGTGGTGTCAGTTGCAGGGGTGGATTCAGTTGCAGGGGTGGATTCAGTTGCAGGGGTGGAATCAGTTGCATCGGTGGTGTCAGTTGCAGGCGTTGTGTCAGTTGCAGGGGTGGATTCAGTTGCAGGGGTGGTGTCAGTTGCAGGGGTGGTGTCAGTTGCAGGGGTGGTGTCAGTTGCAGGGGTGGATTCAGTTGCAGGGGTGGATTCAGTTGCAGGGGTGGAATCAGTTGCATCGGTGGTGGTAGTTGCAGGCGTTGTGTCAGTTGCAGGGGTGGTTTCAGTTGCAGCGGTGGTGTCAGTTGCAGGGGTGGATTCAGTTGCAGGGGTGGATTCAGTTGCAGGGGTGGTTTCAGTTGCAGGGGTGGTTTCAGTTGCAGGGGTGGATTCAGTTGCAGGGGTGGATTCAGTTGTATCGGTGGTGTCAGTTGCAGGGGTGGTGTCAGTTGCAGGGGTGGATTCAGTTGCAGGGGTGGATTCAGTTGCAGGGGTGGTTTCAGTTGCAGGGGTGGATTCAGTTGCAGGGGTGGATTCAGTTGCAGGGGTCGTGTCAGTTGCAGGGGTGGTGTCAGTTGCAGGGGTGGTGTCAGTTGCAGGAGTGGATTCAGTTGCAGGGGTGGATTCAGTTGCAGGGGTGGATTCAGTTGTATCGGTGGTGTCAGTTGCAGGGGTGGATTCAGTTGCAGGGGTGGATTCAGTTGCAGGGGTGGATTCAGTTGCAGGGGTGGATTCAGTTGCAGGGGTGGATTCAGTTGCAGGGGTGGTGTCAGTTGCAGGGGTGGATTCAGTTGCAGGGGTGGATTCAGTTGGAGGTGTGGTGTCAGTTGCAGGGGTGGATTCAGTTGCAGGGGTGGATTCAGTTGCAGGGGTGGATTCAGTTGCTGGGGTGGATTCAGTTGCAGGGGTGGATTCAGTTGCAGGGGTGGATTCAGTTGCAGGGGTGGATTCAGTTGCAGGGGTGGTGTCAGTTGCAGGGGTGGACTCAGTTGCAGGGGTGGTGTCAGTTCCAGGGGTGGTGTCAGTTGCAGGGGTGGATTCAGGTGCAGGGGTGGATTCAGTTGCAGGGGTGGTGTCAGTTGCAGGGGTGGATTCAGTTGCAGGGGTGGTGTCAGTTGCAGTGGTGGTGCCAGTTGCAGGGGTGGATTCCGTTGCAGGGGTGGATTCCGTTGCAGGGGTGGATTCAGTTGCAGGGGTGGATTCAGTTGCAGGGGTGGTTTCAGTTGCAGGGGTGGATTCAGTTGCAGGGGTGGATTCAGTTGCAGGGGTGGTGTCAGTTGCAGGGGTGGTGTCAGTTACAGGGGTGGTGTCAGTTGCAGGGGTGGATTCAGTTGCAGGGGTGGATTCAGTTGCATCGGTGGTGGTAGTTGCAGGCGTTGTGTCAGTTGCAGGGGTGGTTTCAGTTGCAGCGGTGGTGTCAGTTGCAGGGGTGGATTCAGTTGCAGGGGTGGATTCAGTTGCAGGGGTGGATTCAGTTGCAGGGGTGGATTCAGTTGCAGGGGTGGTTTCAGTTGCAGGGGTGGATTCAGTTGCAGGGGTGGATTCAGTTGCAGGGGTCGTGTCAGTTGCAGGGGTGGTGTCAGTTGCAGGGGTGGTGTCAGTTGCAGGGGTGGATTCAGTTGCAGGGGTGGATTCAGTTGCAGGGGTGGAATCAGTTGCATCGGTGGTGTCAGTTGCAGGCGTTGTGTCAGTTGCAGGGGTGGATTCAGTTGCAGGGGTGGTGTCAGTTGCAGGGGTGGTGTCAGTTGCAGGGGTGGTGTCAGTTGCAGGGGTGGATTCAGTTGCAGGGGTGGATTCAGTTGCAGGGGTGGAATCAGTTGCATCGGTGGTGGTAGTTGCAGGCGTTGTGTCAGTTGCAGGGGTGGTTTCAGTTGCAGCGGTGGTGTCAGTTGCAGGGGTGGATTCAGTTGCAGGGGTGGATTCAGTTGCAGGGGTGGTTTCAGTTGCAGGGGTGGTTTCAGTTGCAGGGGTGGATTCAGTTGCAGGGGTGGATTCAGTTGTATCGGTGGTGTCAGTTGCAGGGGTGGTGTCAGTTGCAGGGGTGGATTCAGTTGCAGGGGTGGTTTCAGTTGTGTCAGTTGCACTGGTGGTCTCACTTGCATGGGTGGTTTCAGTTGCATGTGTTGTGTCAGTTGCATCAGTGGTGTCTGTTGCAGGGGTGGAGTCAGTTGCAGGGGTGGTGTCAGTTGCAATGGTGGTGTCAATTGCACTGGTGGTGTCAGTTGCAGTTGCATGGGTGGTGGTGTCAGTTGCACTGGTGGTGTCAGTTGCAGTTGCAGGGGTGGTGTCAGTTGCAGGGGTGGTGTCAGTTGCAGGGGTGGTGTCAGTTGCGGTGGTGGTGTCAGTTGCAGGGGTCGTGTCAATTGCAATGGTGGTGTCAGTTGCAGGGTTGGTGTCAGTTGCAGAGGTGGTGTCAGTTGCAGTTGCAGGGGTGGTGTCAGTTGCAGTTGCAGGGTTGGTGTCAGTTGCAGGGGTGGTGTCAGTTGCAGTTGCAGGGATGGTGTCAGTTGCATCGGTGGTATCAGTTACAGGGGTGATGTCAGTTGCACTGGTGGTGTCAGTTGCATCGGTGGTGTCAGTTGCAGGGGTCGTGTCAGTTGCACTGGTGGTGTCAGTTGCAGTTGCAGGGATGGTGTCAGTTGCATCGGTGGTGTCAGTTGCAGGGGTGGTGTCAGTTGCATCGGTGGTGTGAGTTGCAGGGGTGATGTCAGTTGCATCGGTGGTGGTGTCAGTTGCATCGGTGGTGTGAGTTGCAGGGGTGATGTCAGTTGCATCGGTGGTGTCAGTTGCACTGGTGGTGTCAGTTGCAGTTGCAGGGATGGTGTCAGTTGCATCGGGTGTGTCAGTTGCATCCGTGGTGTCTGTTGCAAGGGTGGTGTCAGTTGCATCGGTGGTGTCAGTTGCAGGGGTGATGTCTGTTGCACTGGTGGTGTCAGTTGCATGGGTGATGTCAGTTGCACTGGTGGTGTCAGTTGCATGGGTGGTGTGAGTTGCAGGGGTGATGTCAGTTGCATCGGTGGTGTCAGTTGCAGGGGTGGTGTCAGTTGCAGGGGTGGTGTCAGTTGCATCGGTGGTGTGAGTTGCAGGGGTGATGTCAGTTGCATCGGTGGTGGTGTCAGTTGCATCGGTCGTGTCAGTTGCAGGGGTGATGTCAGTTGCATCGGTGGTGTCAGTTGCACTGGTGGTGTCAGTTGCAGTTGCAGGGATGGTGTCAGTTGCATCGGGTGTGTCAGTTGCATCGGTGGTGTCTGTTGCAAGGGTGGTGTCAGTTGCATCGGTGGTGTCAGTTGCAGGGGTGATGTCAGTTGCACTGGTGGTGTCAGTTGCATGGGTGGTGTGAGTTGCAGCGGTGATGTCAGTTGCATCGGTGGTGTGAGTTGCAGGGGTGATGTCAGTTGCATCGGTGGTGTCAGTTGCAGGGGTGATGTCAGTTGCAGTGGTGGTGTCAGTTGCAGTCGTGGTGTCAGTTGCAAGGGTGGTGTCAGTTGCAGTGGAGGTGTCAGTTGCAGGGGTGATGTCCGTTGCAGGGGTCATGTCAGTTGCAGTGGTGGTGTCAGTTGCAGGGGTGGTGGCAGTTGCAGGGGTGGTGTCAGTTGCAGTCGTGGTGTCAGTTGTACTGGTGGTGTCAGTTGCATCGGTGGTGTCAGTTGCAGGGGTGATGTCCGTTGCAGGGGTGATGTCAGTTGCAGTGGTGGTGTCAGTTGCATCGGTGGTGTCAGTTGCAGTGGTGGTGTCAGTTGCAGGGGTGGTGTCTGTCGCACTGGTTGTGTCAGTTGCATCGGTGGTGTCAGTTGCAGTGGTGGTGTCAGTTGCATCGGTCGTGTCAGTTGCAGGGGTGCTGTCAGTTGCAGGGGTGGTGTCAGTTGCAGGGGTGGTTTCAGTTGCACTGGTGGTGTCAGTTGCAGTTGCAGGGATGGTGTCAGTTGCACTGGTGGTGTCAGTTGCATCGGTGGTGTCAGTTGCAGTGGTGATGTCAGTTGCATCGGTGGTGTCAGTTGCATCGGTGGTGTCAGTTGCAGGGGTGGTGTCACTTGCATCTGTGGTGTCAGTTGTACTGGTGGTGTCAGTTGCATCGGTGGTGTCAGTTGCAGGGGTGATGTCCGTTGCAGGGGTGATGTCAGTTGCAGTGGTGGTGTCAGTTGCATCGGTGGTGTCAGTTGCATCGGTGGTGTCAGTTTCACTGGTGGTGTCAGTTGCATCGGTGGTGTCAGTTGCATCGGTGGTGTCAGTTGCAGGGGTAGTGTCAGTTGCATCGGTCGTGTCGGTTGCAGTGGTGCTGTCTGTTGCAGGGGTGGTGTCTATTGTATCGGTGGTGTCAGTTGCAGGGGTGGTGTCAGTTGCATCGGTGGTGTCAGTTGCAGTGGTGGTGTCAGTTGCATCAGTGGTGTCAGTTGCAGGGGTGGATACAGTTGCATGGGTGGTGTCAGTTGCTGGGGTGATGTTAGTTGAAGTGGCCTCTCTATTCATCCTCTTAATACCCATGTTGTCTTCCACAGATCCCGGTGTCTGAATGTCCGTGTCCATGGTATCCGCAGTGTCCGTGAGGTCGTCGTCAGTGCTCCTCCTGTTTCTCGCGCTCTGCCCTGCAGATGTTAACCAGAGCGGTGTGAGATGAGGTCAGGGCTGCTGTGAGTGCTGCCTGCAGTGTGAGTCCTGTGCGTGTTCTCTGTTGACCTCACTGTGTTTGCGGTGCTTAGGTGTGTGTCTGCATTTCTGTCTGTGTTTCCTGTTTCTTGTGTGTGTTTTGGTTTTGTTTTTTGTGTAAGTGTCCTGCAGTTATGGTAATTAATTTTCCTGTTTTCTGCCCCTGTGTCACACGGACTTTCCGTCACCGCATTCTGACCGCGGACGGAGTCTCTGGTCTCTGCCTCAGCATCAAATCCCTTTTGTTTTAGTTACAAAGCTGCAGTGGCAATGCTCAGTCCACCACCCACCTCCCCACGTGACTAAAGACGCCTTTGTTGTTGTCACTTCATTCTGTTAATGACCTGAAACATGGTAACTTCCGTTTTCCCGGCAATGCTACTGTAACTGCGTCTCCCCATGCCGTGTGTTCTTTCCCCGTGTCTGCCTGAAGTTCAGGGGTGTTGCCGTGTGTATGTGTGTGCATGTGTGTGTGTGCGCGTGTGTATGTATGTGCGTGTGTGCGCACGTGTGTATGTGTGTGTGTGCGTGCGTGCGTGTGTGTGCATGTGTGTATGTTTGTGTGTGTGTGTGTGTGTGTGTGCGTGCGTGTTGTGGTCTGAGGATCCCCTGGCAGAGCTGGCCCCGTCTTCCCCTCTGGTCGTTTTCGTGGCTGCAAACCCTCGGTGTTCTTAGCCTGTCAGGTTCCACGTGATCCCTGCCGCCCTCCCTGTCTGTCTGTCTTTCTGTTCCCATGTTTCCCTTTGTCCTTTGCATGGTTCCTGGGGTCACTCTGCACACTCTGGGGAATGGTCTTTTCCTGCGTCTGCAGAGGCCCCGCTGCGTCTGCTTTCCTGGTTTGCATGTCAAGCTGACACTCGTTAGAATTATTTGGGAGGAGAAACTTGCATTCCGTGCGCCTCTGTCGCATGTAGGGAGTAAGCAAGCGAACGGCCCTTTCTTCCCTCCCACCCTTTCTTGTTTCCTCTTTTAATGTGAGGCAGGGTCTTGCCAAGTGACGCTGTTTGGGCTGGAACTCACAGCCACCCACCCGCTATTGCCCTTGAGTGCGGTGATTAAAGACAATGTTCCCAGCAGCTGGCTTGTGAGGTTTGTCCCTTGTTTAATGACTGGTGTCTGGGGACCCAGCCCACCGCGGGTGGTTCCACCCCTGGGAGAGCGACCCTGGGTAGCGTGAGAAACCGGATGGACCAGCTGTGCCTTCCCCAAGTGACTGTGTTGGAATGAGGGGGTCTCCCTCCCCCCCCCCGCGTGTCTGTCTGCCTCTTCTCAGTGGTGGCCCCAGTCGGTGGCCCTGTTTGGGAAGGATTCAGAGCTGTGGCCTTGTGAGTGTCGATGGGCTTTGAGGCCTCGGGAGACACACATCATTCTCTGCCTCGCGGTTATGTCTGAAGGCGGGAACTCTCAACTGCGGCTCCAGTGCCTGCCTGGTGCCATCTCCCCCTGAGGACAGGCGCGGATCCCAGCCCTCTGACACCATAGCCACACAGGAAATGCGACTGCAAGTGTCAGCCAAATAAATCGTTTCCTCCCCAGGCTGCTGTTGGCTGTGGCGTTTGTCATAGCGATAGAAAGCAAGCTAACATACCCTCGTGCTCGCTCCCGATCGTCTGGCATGGAAGCTTCTGGCTGTCCTCTCGGGGGAGGCATCCTCCTCCGTCCCACACATCTCTGCCTCCGGCGACCTCTGAAAGACAGACAGGGTTGTTGGATCTCTTTGTGCCCCGCGTGCTGCTGTCTGTGTAACCACAGATGCTGCCGCTACACGTCAACTCGGACTCATCACTGCTCTCTTATAAACTGAAGTACTCGCACTACATACGTGAGGTTTTTGCTCTTGGAATTTGGACAGACGTCTCCTGTGGCTGCCGTACAAGCATGAGGACCTGAGTTCAATTCCCAGGACCCACATGAAAATCTGGGCACGGTGGGGGGTGCCTGTCATCACCGCCCAGGTCCCCGGGGCTTGCCAGCCAGTCCAACCAATTTGTTGAGCTCCGGGTTCAACAAGAGACTCTGTCTCATTGGGAGCGTGGGAGGGAGGGAAGAGGACGGAGGGGAGCAGGGAGGAGAGCATGAGGACACGTTGGGGAAGGACAGAGGGGGAGAGCAAGGGAAGAGATCTCTGGATAGAGGGAGCCATTGTGGGATTAGTGAGAAGCCTGGCATAGGGAAATTTCCAGGAATCCACAAGGATGACCCCAGGTAAAACTCTAAGCAATGGCGGAGAGGGTGCCTGAGCTGGGAGCCTGAATTGGCACCGTCTGTATTCAGATTGAGGACTACCATAATTGTCAACATGGAGCTGCCTCCAGTAACTGATGGAAGCAGAGATCCACAGCTAAGCACGGGGCCGAGCTCCCAGAGTCTGGTCAAAGAGAGGGAGGAGCGCTAACATGAACATGAGGAAGGGATCGAGGGGAAACCCACAGAAACGGCTGACTGGAGCTAGTGGGAGCTCCCGACTGGACCGAGAGCTGCGGCATCTGCATAGGATCAAACTAGGCCCCCTGAATGCAGGAGACAGTGGGTGGCTCGGGTAGTTTGTGGGCCGCTGGCAGTGGGACCAGGATCTATCCCTAGTGCGTGAACCGGCTTTTTGGAGCCCATTTCCTGTGGAGAGATACCTTGTCCCACCTCTACTTGGTGATGGCACAGACTTCGTTGATTCCCTATGGGATGCCTTTCCCTCTCTGAGGAGTGGATGGGGAATGGGGTGGAGGGAAGGGGGGGCAAGGTTGGGAGGAGGGGAGGAAGAGGAACTGGGATTGGTATGTAAAATACAAAAAGAGAGAGACTGTCTCCAAACTAAGGTGGAAGCCAGGCATGGTGGGTCATATCTTTAATTGCAGCAGAGGCAGGGATTAGACAAAGGTGGATCTCTGAGTTCAAGACCAAGGATAGGGAGGACTTGCCTCAGAAAGAGAGAGACAGAGACAGAGAGAGAGAGAGAGAGAGAGAGAGAGAGAGAGAGAGAGAGAGGAAGACACCTACATGTGCACACACGTGGGTGTACACACAGACACACACAGAGAAAATGTTTTACATTCTTGTGGAAAATAGTGGTTTAGTTAAGGAAAGCAAAGATTTAACATTTCCCAACTAAACTTGTATCAAGTAGGTATATTTTTAAATTGTATCACGTTAGACAAACAAGCACACTCATTGGTATAGAAATCTGCTTTCACCTTCAATAAACTGTAAAGCTGTGTATATATACAGATAATCGTCTTAAAGTAAATTTCTTTATGATTTACTGTGAGTTACTGTGTGCAGATCTGTTTCCTATGCCTGCTTACCCTGGGCTGTCTACAAAACGTAACAAGCAACAACAGATTAAAGTTTGTGCAAACGTGATCCAGGGAGAGGGACCAAGTTCCTCCCCAAGCAGCCAGCGGTGGCTCTGGCTTCAGAGTCATGAGGGTGCCCGAGTAAAGGGACGGGGACCTTCCTCCAAGGCTAAGGGAAGCTGCCGAGGTCTGGTGTGTGGAGATGCCAGTGTGCAAAGCTGTGGGGATGGGGTTCAGATTGCGTTGGAGACCCCGAGATGTCACAGGTGTCAGAGCTGCGGGAAGTCTGCAGACCGGGCATGGGACCAGCCAAGGGCACAGCAATAGGAAAAGACCTAACATACCCCACATGCACACAGCAATGCAAAAGCTAGGACAATGATTTTCCGTGTGTGTGTGTGTGTGTGCGCGCGCGCGTGCGCGTGTGGTGTTTGTGTAGGTGTGTGTATGTGTGCATGTGTGTGTGGGTGCACATATCTGTATATGTGTGTGGTATGTGTATGTGTGCATGCACGTGTGTGTAGGTGTGTATAGGTGTATGTATGTGTGCATGTGTGTGTAGGTGTGTATAGGTGTATGTATGTGTGTATGTGTGTGTAGGTGTGTATAGGTGTGTATAGGTGTATGTATGCGTGTGCATGTGTGTAGGTGTGTATAGGTGTATGTATGTGTGTGCATGTGTGTGTAGGTGTGTATAAGTGTGTGTGGGATGCACTTGTGCAGTGCACGTGGAGGTCAGAGGTTAAGCGGCAGTGTTGTTTCTCAGGAGCCACTCACCTGTTGAGACAGGGTCTCCTGTACCTTGTATCTGGCTAGACTGGTTGACCAGGAAGCCCTGGGACTCTGCCTGTCTCTGCATCCCCCGGGCTGGGGTTACAGATGCCTACAACCACACACGGCTTTTCAGTGGGTGCTGGGACTGGATTCAGATTCTCATGCTCACGTGGCAAGCATTTTACATGACTATATTGGCTCCCCCGGCCCTGATGTCTCAATATACTGGATACCAGACAGAAAAGGACAATGTTTCCTGGGCGCCGTGAAGCGAACCTACGCTCACCTCAGCTCATTGGCCTGAAAGGGTTTCCTGGGGGCAGTGGGGAGAGGTGAGCACATGAAGGTTGCCTGAGCTGGGGAGATGCTGTGAGGGGGCCGAGAGATGGAGGCAGAGCTCGTGAGCGTGCTGGCTAGCCTTATGTCAACTTGCCACAAGCTAGAGAAAACGCCTCCATAATAGTGGTTCTCACCCTTCCTAACGCTGTTACCCCTTAATACGGTTCCTCCTGTGTGGTGACCCCAACCATAAAACTTGCATTGCTACTTCATAACTGTAATTTTGCTACTGTTATGAGTCGTAATGTAAGTGTCTGTGTTTTCCAGTGGTCTTAGGTGATCCCTGTGAAAGGGTCTTTCAACCCCCAAAGGTTGAGAACTGTGCTGTATATAAGCTAGGCTGCAGGCAAGTCTGTGGGGCATTTTCATAGCTAGAGACTGATGTGGGAAGGCCTGGCCCACTGGGGGTGCGGCCATCCCTGGGCTGTTGTCCTGGGTTCTATAAGAAAGCAGGCTGAGCAAGCCGTGGAGAGCAAGCCAGGGAGCAGCTCCCTCCATGGCCCCTGCGTCTGCTCCTGCTCCGGGTTCCTGCGCCATCTGAGTTCCTGTCCTGACTCCCTCAGTGATGGACTGTGATGGGGAAATTGATGTGGAAATTTAAGCCAAATAAGCCCTGTCCTCACCAGTTGCTGTGGTCAATGTGTTTCTTCACAGCAAGAGAAACCCTAGCCAGGGCAGAGAGCTACAGAGACTTCGGGGGTGAGCACTGGCTTCTCCTTGGGCCGATTGAGTTCAGTGCTAGTTAGTGCGCAGCTCTGAACACAGTGCTCGAGGCCGGAGAGACTGCATAGGAGAAGGTGAGAAGGGACAGGGGCTCGAGCTCGCTGTCCCACAGGGAACAGCGCTGCCCCGGGGCTGGGGTCAGGCTGGGGGTCAGGCTGGAGAAGCCTGCAGCTCGCAGGGCACTGAAGAAAAAAAGGGACTCACAATGACTCTGCTTCACTAAAAGGGAATGACAGGAGGGCGCAGTGACTCAGAACTGCAATCCTCAATACACAAGAGGCCGAGCAGGGGGATCACAATTTTGAGGCTAGCCTGGGCAACTTTATTTTATTTGGTTTTTCGAGACAGGGTTATTCTGTATTGTTTTGGAGGCTGTCCTGGAACCCTCTCTGTAGACCAGGCTGGCCTCAGACTCACAGAGATTCACCTGCCTCTGCCTCCCGAGTGCTGGGATATAAGGCATGCGCCACCAACGCCCGGCTAGCCTGGGCAACTTAATAATGTCCTATCTGAAAATAAAGGTTCGAAGGGTTTGGGGAAGCAGAATGGGGGTAGGGAGACATGGTTCAGTGGTAGAGCACCTGCCTAGAATCCCCCAGTGAGGGGCTGGGGTGTGGCTTAGTGGTAGAGCACCTGCCTAGAGTTCCCCAGTGAGGGGCTGGGGTGTAGTTCAGGGGGAGAGAGTAGTGCTTGCTTAGTATGTGCTACGACCCCCCTCCAGGGTTCAATCTCCAGCACTGCACAAAAATTATTAGTTATGATAATTATTTTGGACAACTTTAAACAGAGTAATACGTGAAACGATTTGAATTCAAGAAAAGTAAGCGAACCAAAAAAGTATGTCAAAAATAATGTTCCCCCAACATAACAAATACAAAATAACCCTAAGTTCACTCATTCGAGAAGTTCAACTCCCTCCCAACACAAATCACACAGAGGAAACTCCTTCCTATTCCATCCAAAATGCTCGCATTCTATAGCTGTTTACAGGGGGTTATCAGCAGCAGTCATCAGCACATTTCACAGCTTAGACTAAATGAGCAGATACCCTGGAAGACAAGCAGTAAAAGCTCACTCAAAAAGAAACAGATCAGGGGCCAGCAAAATGGCGCATTACCTAACGGTGATTGCCTCCAAGACTCAACAATCAGAGTTCAATCCCCGGCCATCCCAGCCTTGGGAGGCAGAGACACCGGGATCTTAAGTTCAAGGTGAACCTCGAGTACCTGGTGAGTTTGAGGGCAGGTGAGAGTCCCCAGACTTGTTGCCTGAGGACTGTGAACTCATCTGGGTCTCTCAGCTAAGAGAACGCTGTTGGACAGGCCAGGAGTGATGGAAAAAGCATCATGAGGTAGTCATCATCACAAGATGGTCCAGGGCTTCCGGAGATAACTGTTTTTATAGCAGTGATTGACCAAAGGTGTTTCTAGAACCACCCAGTGTGTCTGTGCCTGACACCTACAAGGAGGTCCAAGGGCTCACATCTAGTCACTCCTGCACCCCCCTCGGTAGCCCCGACTCCGCTGACTCCTCGGTGGGGGAGGAGCCCCTGTAGGGCACAGGGGACAGGGATGGTGGGGGAAGGAGTGGGCCAGGCTGTGGACGGGGCGGGAGGGGGGCTCAGGGGAGGATGGTGCCAGTCTCTGCAGGCGGCTTCCTAGAGATTTTCATGTTCTGCTATTTGGAGTGTGTGTGGGGTGTACACGTGTGTGTTCTGTGTATGTATGTGTTCATATATGACGTGCCTGTGGAGGCCAGGGGACAAACTTGACAGTCACTCCTAAGGTGCCATGCACTTTGGTTTTGTTGAGACAGGGACTCCCATTGGTCTAACCTGTCAAGTGGGCTAGGCTGTCTACTCGGAAGCCCCTGGGCTTCCCCTGTCTCTGCCTCCCTGGTTGTAAAGGGGCGCTGCCAAGTCTAACTTCTTTAAAAGATGCATTTATCTTTAGAGATGTTATCTCTTTCTGTGTGTGTGACTGCGGCTCCGAGTCCATGGGTGCCCAGGTACCTGAGGAGGCCACGAGAGGGCAGTGGCTGCCTCGAGTTACAGGTGGTTGGGAACCTCCCAACGTGGTTCTCCCGCACTGAGCTCTCTTCAGCCCCTCCCCGACCTTTTCCCGTGGGTTCCGAGAAGCAAACTCAGGTCTGCTGTGTTTGTCTTTCCTGACTCAGCTGTCATCTCCCTACCACTGTTTTGCTTTCTTTTTTGTGTTTTTGGTTTTTGTTTTCACCAATAAAGTCACCTTATTATAATGAACTCACATATAAAAAACATCACACAGCCAGTTTAAGGAAGCTACTCCAAAATCTTCCAGGGTCAAGGGCTATGTATCTTCATCTCAGTGAACATCTGTACTTGTCAGAGCGGCCGTTCTGAAGCCAGGGAGCTTTGCCTGGGTTTTATGCTCTCTCTCTCTCTCCCTCTCTCCTTCCCTCCCTCCCTCTCTCCCTCTTTCCCTTCCTTCCTTTTTTTCCAAGACAGGGTTTCTCTGTGTAGCCTTGGCTGTCCTGGAACTCGCTCTGTAGACCAGGCTGGCCTCGAACTCACAGAGATCCGCCTGCCTCTGCCTCCCGAGTGCTGGGATTAAAGGCACACACCTCCACGCCCATCTTCCCAATGTTATTTCTGGCTAACAGCAATTATTTTCATCTTTATTCATTTATTTATGACTTATTTATTTGGGGATGGTCTCGCATGCTCCCCCCACATGGGTGGAAGTCAGAGGGCGACATTCAGGAGTTGGTTCCCTCCTTCCATCATGGAGGAGCCGGGGACCAAACTCAGGTCATCAGGCTGAGCAAGTGCCTTTCCCGGTTGAGACTCTCACTGGCTCAGCGATTACTGCTGTGAAGAGAACCCTGAGCAGGGGCTCAGAGGTAAAATGCTTGGCCAGCTAGCACAAGGCCGTGAGCTGGAACCCCAGCACCACAGGAGAAAGACCAGGAAAGAAGGGAGGGAAGACAGAAAGAAGAACGAGGAAGAAGAAAGGGAGAGAGCAGGAAACGGAAGAAGAAAAGGAGAGAGAGAGCAGGAAACGGGAAGAAGAAAGGGAGAGAGGGCAGGAAATGGGAAGAAAGGGAGAGAGGGCAGGAAACGGGAAGAGTCAAGCCCGTCTCTTCTTCTGTCATTTGCTTTGGAGCCCTTGCCCCCAGCACCCCAGGAGACCCCTGCTGAGTTTGTTTTGTTTTGCGGTGGCAACCTTATTTGACAATAGTCCTTGCAAGGCATCGTGCCAAACTGAGGTCATTCGCACGACCCCTAATCTAACCTCACCGGTGTCCTCAGACATGGGAAGATCTGGACCCAGCACAGGTGTGAACATGGGGAGATCATCACGGGGCCTAAGGAAGCAGAGATTTGCCGTCGGGTCTGGGGACAGACCCTTGCAGAGGGCCTTCTAAATGAGTGGGGATGGGCTGGTGAGATGGCTGGGCGGGTAAAGACCGTTGGCGCCTAACTCGATGGCCTGAGTCGCATCCCTGGATCCCACACGGTGGAAGGAGAAAACTGATTTCTCCAGGTTGCCGTGCGACCACCCCTTCAACACGCACAAAGTAAATTAAAGCAACAGCAACAACAAAGATGGACACCCTGCTTGACCCCTGCATCCAGAAATGAGAGACAGAAACTCTGCCATTCTAAGCCAGCCAGGTTGCGTGCTGTTGCTACGGCAACCCTGGGGTGGGACAGTGGTGGAAATAAAGGATGGGTCAAGTGCCTGGGCCTGGTGAACCGCAATGAGTGAGATGGCAATTACGGGCAGGAGACTCTTGGCCTCAGTCACCGTCAACACGGGTGTGGGGACAGGAGGGTAATTGCTAAGGTTGAACAGCTGTAGGCAAGCCCAGAAGTCACGGTGTCTCATTGAGATAGCATACTTAGCTATAGCAGGAAGATAAGAGGGCATCTTCCAGGCAGGGCTAGCTGAGGTCACGGAATTATTTCTGTAGCTACACCCTATCCTGTCATAGCCAAGTCCAGTGGCCTTGAAGGGGCATAGTGCCCTGGGTCCCTGGATAAGGAACATGGTAGAAACCAGATGCTACTGGACTCTGATCAGGATCCTAGAGACCAAGCCTCAAGCAGCAGGGAGTGTATAAAACTCAGCAGAGCAGAAAAAAATCTGGAAACTTCCATTCTACAGAGGGGGAAACTGAGGCTAGAGAGGAATGGGTCATAGCACAGCAGGTAAACCAGGATGGGGGTGAGAAGGCAGTGGAGAGGAGATGCGGAGAGAGGGGGAAGAGAGAGACGCGCGTGCACATACACACACACATGCACACGGGCACACACACGCACGCATGCGCGCACACACACACACATACACGAACGCACGCGCACACACACACGCAGGCATGCACACACGCACACACACAATGGGGTGGAAGGCTGACAGGACAGTGGGAAGCTCCTGCCCTACTGGGACCCTAGAGGAGCTCAAATGCTACCCCTGTAAGATCTGCCCTCATATTACTGCCCCCTCCACGCCAAGTCCTCACTGGAGAAGAGCTGGTAGGAGGCATGGCCCACGGGCAGCACCTGGCCCACGGGAGTTCCAACGCAGGACAAAGCCTTTATGAGGGTGGCATCTTGTTCAAGGTCGAATAAGGGAACTCCACTCCTGACTCTAAGACCCTTTCTGTGCCCCGGCCCTCCCAAGGTGTCACCTATTTGGGGGAGGAGAGAGGCCTGGACTTTTCTTTCTGCCTCAGCCTGCCTCCCTCCCTCCCCGGGAGCCAGGCAAAGGACAGTCTGGCTGTGGTCCACTCCCACCTCCTGCTAAGGACTTGTAAGCAACTGAATTGAATGGATCCTTAGAAATCCCAATCCCAGGAGCAGGGGGCGCTAGAGATGACTCTGGAGTCAAGAGCATTTACTGTTCTGTCGGAGACTGGGGTTCAGATCCCAGCATTCCACGTCAGGACAGTTCACAAACACCTGTAACTGCAGCTCAAGGAATCCAACAGCCCCTGTGGTGTCAGGGGCACCCATGTACGACACACATGTACACACGGAAAATGAGTTTAAAGAGAAGAAGAAATCCCAACCTAGGGCTTCCCACATGTGAGCAAGCCCTCTACCCCGGAGCTGTATCATAGCTGTCGGCCCCTGGCTGGGCCTTCTGTGACACACTCTAGTGCTGAGTCACCAAGTCCCTCGCTGGAGAATTCCAGGCAAGTGCCGTCCCCCTTTTTTGGTTTATTTTGTTTTTTAATTTTTTTTTTTGAGACAGAATCTCACTGTGTAGCCCTGGCTGTCACGGTACTCACTCTCTAGAGCTGCCTCTCTGCTTCCTGAGTGCAGGGTTAAAGGTGTTTGCTACCATGCCCAGCTTCCCAGCCCTTTTTGTCTGTCTGTCTGTCTGATTTGTTTTAGTTAGGGTCTCTCCAAGGCAGCCAGGCTGGCCTGGAACTCATCAGGATGGCTTCAAACTCAAAGAAAGCTACGTGTCTTTGCCTCCCAAGTCCTAAAGGCTCATGACACTCTTTGGATTTGCAGTCCTAGTTGTTATTTTAAGACAGGCTCTCACTAAGTTGTCAAGGTTGGCCTTGAACCCGCTCTGTAGCAGTCTTGAACTTTCAATCCTTCCTGAGTGACGGGGATGGTAGGCTTTCCCCACCTGGGATGGACCAACCCTTGCCTTTTCTGAGAAAAAACTGAGACCAGAGAGCAGATGAACACACTGATGGTGAGGGAGCCGGAATGTGAGCTTCCGGACATCCCAGGAATGTGGTCCTGTGGCTGTGGTCCTGTGGCTTCCTCAGCTTGTAAGGCAGGAGAGGTGGACACACACACACCAGGACAGACGTTAGAGAAGGCAGAACAAGGAGGCAGGTGTTGTATCTTATGTGAAGAGGACCCTGCCAAGCCAAGCCTGCCGTCCCAGTCTCGGGAGGCTGAGGCAGGAGGATCAAAACTAGTCACATGGTGAACGTTAGGTCAGCCTGGCCTCATCATGACCAAACTGTCTTCACACCCTCTCCTCACACACAAAGACCTTGGGGGCACTCGGCAGCATTGAGATGGGAGATAAGAGAGTCCGATAGGGACACTCACAAGATAAACACAGGCTCTATTTAACGTGGCTGGGTGTCTACAAAGGGATGATTCGCTTAATCCGGGCAGCCACGTCAACTGATACCTGTGACTCCCGGGAGTGCTGGCAGCCAGAGAAGAAACTGGTCGTTCCCCAGAGTTCATCTGGGGAAAGGAAAGATGTTCAGGGAAGCCTAAAGCTGAGAGCCAAGAGGAAGGTGCCTCAGCCGCCCTTGACGGCGAAGGGAGCTCTGCCCGGAGCCTGGCAGCTCAGGGATGCAGGCTCGTGGGAAAGGGACCGTGGGGCTGGGAAGCTACTCACCCTCCTCGGCAGCGACGGACTGGGGCAGGAAGAAGGGGATGAGAGCCAGCAGGCAGAGCGCCGCGGCCTGCCTCGTCCTCGACATCGCGGAGTCTACAGTCCTGCCTGCTGTGTGTTCTCGGAAGCTGGCAAAATGAATGCGAGCCACGGAACCCCAGAAATAAAAGCAGCCAAGAGACCTTTGACCTCTGAGATACTAAGAGTGCGGGGGGTCAGTGTGAATAGGAGTCAATCTGGCTTCCCGTATGACGAGGGGTGGGGGCCAGCCACTCTGGGCCAAAGAGCAAAGGGAGCGGTCCCCATTCCGCGTCAGACAAGCGCATAGGTGTTCAGGTAGGTGATGAGATTTACCACCCCAGAGGGAGGGTGGTGCAGCCGCTGGCAGGAAGAAAAGGGCAGGGCCCTTCCACGGAGACGCGCCGAGAGCCCAGATCGAAGCAGGAGAGAGGAACATCCTGGATTTGGCCCCGGCCCCTGGAGAGAATATCTACAGGACATCCCTCCAGCTGTCCCTCTCTCTGTCCTATAGGTACCCCAGAGGGGACAGGGTTCAAGTTATGACACCCTGAGATTATCAGGAGTTCATACATGCATACATGCATACATACATACATACATACATACATACATACATACATATTAAACATTCCCCTCCTTCCTCTCCTTCCAGTGCCCCCGCCAGTCCCCCCCTTCCCCACCCCCAATTCACTCTTCCATTAGGAAAGGACAGGTCTCCCCCTGAGTACCAACACAACATGGCATTTCAGGTTGCAGTAAGACTAATACCCCCTTGTGTTAAGGCTGGGCAAGGTCCCCCAGTATGAGGGGTAGGGTCCCAAAACCAGCAAAAGAGTTCAGAGATAATCTCTGCACCACTGTCAGGTGTCCCACAAGAAGACCAAGCCACACAACTGTCACATATATACAGAGGCCTAGGTCAGTCCCAGGCAGACTCCCTGGTTGTTGGTTCAGTCTCCGTGAGCCCCTGTGAGCCCGGTTAGTTGATTCTGTGAGTTTTCTTGTGTCTGTGACCCGTCTGGCTCCTACAATCCTTTCTGTCCCTCTTCTGCAGGATTCCCCAAACTCTGCCCAATGTTTAGCTGTGGGTCTGCATCTGTTTTCATCTGTTGGATGACAGCTCTCTGATGACAACTGGGCTAGGCACCAATCTGGTCACAGGAGAGGGCCGGCTGAGGCTACGCATCCACTATTGCTAGGAGTCTTAGCTGGGGTCGTCCTTGTAGATTCCTGGGAGATTAAATTCCCTTGGGCCAGGTTTTTATCTGATCCCCAAATGCTCCCACCTCTTGAAGTAGTCTTTCAGATCTCCCTCCTCTGTCCATCAGGAAATCCTACGTGTGTGAGTTCAGAGTAATCAAGGCCCATGACCACCTCGAGTGACTTTGTCCACCGCCAAGCACTCAGTCCTCGGCCTTCTGGAGGTTCCCAGCTGTCCCCAAGGCCCGGCCTTGTGTTTGTCCGACCTCAGTGTCCTCTGGCAGAAATGGCCCTGCCCTGCTCCCGCTGGAAGAGGCAAGTGGTTCAGACACTGGGATGGGAATGCTCAACCCCTGGGAAGGTTGTTCTGCCCAGAAAGGGGCATAAGGCATTTTCCTCCATTACCTCCAGACGCAACAACCCACCAGGCCACCCTGCGCGCCCCCACGCCCCGGCACACACATCAGGAAGAGAAGAAAACGTAAGATTCTGCATTGAAGAATTGCTTTATTGATAGGGAAATTCCAGAGCAGGGCGGAACCTACACAAAGATAAAGATGCCAAGGTGCTCAGAGGCCTCTGGTTCCCGAGCACGGAGGAGGCGGTCCTGCCTCTCAGTCCTTGGCTTTTTGCTCTTTGCCCCCGTCTTCTGGAAAGCGACCCATGAACCAACTCGGGTCACCTCAGAGCACACACTTTGGGACCCGGTGTCGGCTTCGTCTTAACCAGACAGGAATACCTGTGGTGGGGACTCCGGCCCTCTCTTGTCTAAATCTGGAGGGGGGTGTGGTGGGCAGGCGCGCTCCTGTTCTCACGGGGCTGCTGACTTCACCACCTTGGGACTCTGAAAGCTGAGCTGGGGGATGGGAGAGACAGATGAGACCAAGCAGGGGTTAGGGGGAGCTGGGGCGGTGGGGAGGGGGAGACAGGGAAGACCCAGGAGTGGGCAGGCCCAAGGTGTCACCTCAGCATCGGGGTGCACGTGCTGCAGGTTTGGCTGGAAGTGGCTGCGCCCTTTCTCCAGGCCAAGTTTGTCCTCTTTCAGATTCTGGCCTGTAGGGAAAGCTGTGCTGTAAGAAGGGCTCCCCCAGAGGAGGCTGGGGCAGCCACGGGCAGGGGGGGATGTGTGTGGGGTGGGGTGGGGGTCCCAGGAAAGCAAAGACAACTGCTTCAGCCCTCCTAACCCGGGGCGGAGTCTTAGTGTGCCTGACTTGAGCCTGGGAACTGGTCTGGGGTGACACAGGGACACCAGGGAGAGGGACGAGCCTTCCTTCCCACTTGTGCATCAGGGCCACAAGTCATACCCATGGGACTTAACTGCTGTCGGCCAGAGGAACAGATGGGAGTGGAGCTCGAGTCACGGGCTGCCCCCTCACCTGCCAGCCCTTAGCAACTGTGTAAACACAGCCGACAAGCCAGGCTTTCGGGAACTGCTCCCGTGGCTCTGCTATTCACCAGTCGTGGCTACTTCCTCTTCCTGAACCCTGCAGCTCTTCTTGTCTTCCTGGACTCCAGGCCAGGGCCTGGCTTTTCCCCTTAGCTTCCTGGCCATCCCTCAGTGGGCATCTTAGGGTGCGTCCTGCAGGGGCTGCACTCTAGGTGGTCCCTGTCTCCTTTCCCTGTTCAACTGCCACTCAGACTGCGCTGCTACCGTGAGGTCGAGGAGGCCTCCCCTTCCAGAGAGTCAGTGTGTCCCCTTCTCTCGTGGGTGCTCAACTCAGCAGCCACCATACTGCTAAGGGCAGCCTCAGATGCTCCGTCCAGCCTGATCCCCTCCTCAGCCTGCCCGCAACCCCAGCTCTGCTCCCCAGACTGGTCACTACCCTATCACCTTGTCCTTGTCTCCCACACTGAGCGGCCCGCTTAAAAGTCCTCTGTGGACCTGGTGATTTATATACCCGTCAACTCAGAGGCAGGCCGAGGTAGAAGGCTTTGTGGGTTCAAAGCCAGCCTGGGCTACATAGGGAGACCCCGTTCCAGATAAACTAACACATACACAACACCACACACACAGCTCTTGATCAAAGCCTTCCAAAGCCATCTTTTCATTTTTGGGGGTGGAGCGGGGTGGGGGGGCATACAAACCAGTTAGTCTCAAACTTGCTATGTAACAGAAAATGACATTGGATTTTCTGAAGCGCCTTTGTCCACCTCCCCAACGCTGGCGTTATAGGAGCGAGGCCATGCTGGGGTTACAGGAGTGCGGCCCCACGCTGGGGAGTGCGGGCCCACGCGTTTTCTTAGGTAGCACCTCCAACATAAGAAGGGCCTTACCCTGTCTGCTCAGGGACCACTCATAGGAGCAGGAAGCCTGCCTCAGTCACTGGTTGGAGACTCAGGCTTAAATTAGGAGCCTTCAGTGAACCCGAAGCCCAGGCTGGGTCATTCCAGTCCAGGTGCTCCAGTCATAACCCGTGTACTGCTATACCCTGGCGCTCCAGAGAGTGGCTGTGCGTCGGACACCTTGTCTTGTGAGGCATGAGACAACTCTGAGCCTACCCTGAATCACTAGGGAAAGGGTGGTACATAAGGGGTCATAAAAATAAAACTGAGGAAGCTGAAACTTGGGTGTGGCGGTGCACACCTGCAATCCAGCACTAAAGAGGCTAAATTAGGATGATCCCTAAACTCAGTGCCAACCTATGCTACACTGTGGCTTGTTTGAGGCCACCCTGGGCTACAGGGACAGCAAACAGCTGTGTCAGGAAACTGATGAGGTGAATCCGTTGGTAACATGTTTGCCTCGTAAATACTTAGGGCCTGAGTTTGATCCCCAGAATCCACATGGAAAGCTAAGCACAGTGATACACGCTTACGACCCCAGCGCTGGGGGAACAGACTGGCAGATCCCCGTGACTCTTGGGCAGCCAGTCTGCCCCCGTCCGCCAGCCCCAGGTTCCCGTGGAACACTTGGCCTCTAAGGACCAACACCTAGACAGACCTCTGCGTACATGTGCACATGAGTGAATGCTCGCACACCCCCCTCCCAAATGTGCGCTGGGGAGGCAGAAGTCTAAGTCTGCTCAGGGGAAGAACTGGGCAGAGGCAGCCGTGCTGATCAGAGAAGAAGTTACGTAGAGACTCGGGCAGACACAAAGGGGCCCCTGAGTTGCTCAGGAATCAGGGGAGTTTAAGGACAAAGTGGGGGTCCCTGGAAGGGAAGGGGTCATAGATGGGTTACAGAAACAGCAGCTTTGGGGCAGGGATAGGTGGTGGGGAGTGATGTATACAGAGAGCTCAGTGGAGGCCCTGGAATTTGATGGGGGAGAAGCTGAAAAAGGACCAGACAGAGGTCAGGCTAGTGAGATGAGTAAGGTGACCAGAGTCCCATCCAGGGACTCACAAGATGGCAGGGAAGAGCTGACCTCTGCCCACACAGCATCACACACACACACACACACACACACACACACACACACACGTGTGCCTACTACGTAAAGGTAGCTAAAAACAAAAACGGAGGCCAGTGAGAGGCCGGATGTTAGGGGAGAAGGGACCGCAGAAGAGCAGGGTGAGTGCCCTGAGATTCAGGGTTAGACGGACATGAGCTGCCTCTGGGTCACAGCTGGGCAGGACTCAGGTCACTCTCAGAGCTACCTGTGCCTTTCCACCCTTCCCCCTGAACAGTTACCTTCCCAGACGCCTGTGCTCTTGAAGGTTCCAGGGAGAGTTTCTCTCTGCCACGCTTGAGACGGGTTGTACTTTGCCCTGCAAACGGCAGTGTCGTGAGTGAGGAGCTGCGTGTGAGAGGAGGAGGGGACTCGGCAGACCCTGGCCCCGAGGGGACGATCGCATCTCCCCCCTTAGCTAAAGTAATGGCCCTGGGGAGTGACAGCTAGACTCACTCTGGTTTCCATGGGCAGCGGCCAGGCTCCCCAAGCGTCCCTCAGTTCCCTAACGGGCCTCAGTCTCCCCAGGTATGAAATGGGGGCATTGCAACAACCCCCTCTGCTCGCTTCTAGCCTGTTCTAGTGACTGTTTCTTGGCAGTTCTTCAAAATGTGCATCTCCCTCTGTCTGACTCAGTCCCAGCCTCCTCATTATTCTCTAGGGCAGCCGAGATAATCAAATGCAATTTTATTGTATAATCTAATTTCAGTGATTAAGTTTCTGTTTCCATTTCTCACTCACAGAGACCATACTACCCTAACAGATAAAAATGCCACCCTTGGTGATGTCCAGCGGTGGGTGGGGCGAGACGCCCTGTTTGGCCTCAGCCAACTTCTTCACCACCAGGCTGGGGGCAATAGAATTGTAGAGCATTAAGACAGTGACTGCTGGGTGGAGTGTCCTCACCTTCCGGTTGGTCCCCTCCCTCTATGACCGTGGTGGCTGGGTTCGTGAGCTCACCTGTGTTGTCTTCTCTGGGACCGACCAAGGAAGACAGCCAAGACGACCAGGACCAGCAGCACTGCCAGCACGGTGCCCGCAAGTCCATACACAAGTCTCTTGCTGGCTCTAGACTGGCAAGTCTCCCCCCAGTACCAGTGGGTGTCTGTGTTTGGGCACCTGAAGACACACACACACACACACACGCAGGCTCAGGCTAGGTCCCTTAAATCAGGTCTCCCGAAGGGAAATTAAATACCTAAGGCCCAGGAACCTCTCCTAAAGGTGTATGTGTGTCTCGGGAAGCCAGGGTCCCTGACTCTGTAAGGTGTGGGAGGAAACGCAGGATGCCATCTCAGAGGGACCCCAGGGACCTGAGTGTCTTGTCCTAGTTATGACCTTGCCTGCATATCTAATCTCAAAGCAGCTGGCACCCGAGAGGGCTTCTTATCATGTTTACTATTATGTACATTAATTTATGATCATGGAAGCTAGTGTGCCCAGGTCGCAGCTAGAAGTGTTTACTGCTGAAATGTCAAAAGAGAAATTAATGATGGCGCTAGGCATGATAGGTGAGGTCTGGAATCCCAGAACTTGAGGAGTTTGTGGAAGGAAGGTTTGTTCAAAATGGAGGCCAGCCTGGGCTACACGGTGAGTTCCAGTCCTACCTGGGCTACAGGGACCCAGTCTGAAAAAAAAATGAAGAAAAGTGGGAAGGGGAGGAAGGGAATAAGGAAGGGAAAGGGGAAAGACAGGAAGAGGGAAGGAATGAACAGAAGAAATAGAGAAAGAGGCTGGTGGCGGAGAGATGAGGCAAGTAACTAGAACCTTCTCAGAAGAGCCCTGGCTGGACTGGAGAATGCCCGAATCTAGAGCCATGGCCACCCATCACTCATGCCGGCAGAGGGTGGAGAGTCCCCTCAGAGGGAAGAGCGATGTGGCAGACAGAGAAACTGCCTTCCAAGCACATCCCCGTACCCCCCCCCCCCGCTAGAACAGCTGCTTTGTGATTTACCCACGGCATCCGCCCACCTAGCTACTCAGGCACAAGCAGCAAGAGAAACTAGGGGTGGGTGGGGCGCAGGACAGGCGTATGATCCACAGGGCATGAGGCAGCAGGCTGGTGACTCCAACTCTACGGGGGACTGTGGGGCGGGGAGCATCAGGAGAAGGAGGTAGGCACTCACACGCAATGGGGCCCTGAGCGGAGCAGCTGGCACCGGCCCAGGTTGCAGTTGAGTTGCGACTTCGCCCCCTGAGTGCAATTGTTCACGCAGGTCAGCCTTCCCTCCACAACCTCCGGGTAGAAGTACTGGCCAAAGTCCTCGGCAGCCTTCTGGTTGCAAAGCTCTATAGGGTGAGGAATGACACCTAGAGTCAGTGCGGCTAGAACTCTCCCTGGGTCCCCACTTACCATCCATACTCCACCCGCTCCGGCCCACAATTCCAAGGGGCCGCTCACCAGCAGGGCTGAAGCTGAACTTTATAGTCTCCATATCCACAGTGGTGAAGTTAGTGTTGTAGCACAGTTTGGCGTCTGCCCGCCATAAAGGGGAGAGAAAAACAAACCAGAAAGGCTTCTTAATGCCTCTCTGTCCACAGTCAAGCCTCCCCTTCTCCCACCAGGCTCCTCCCTTCTCCCACCAGGCTCCTCCCCCTCTCTCACCAGGCTCCTCCCTTCTCCCACCAGGCTCCTCCCTTCTCCCACCAGGCTCCTCCCTTCTCCCACCAGGCTCCTCCCTTCTCCCACCAGGCTCCTCCCTTCTCCCACCAGGCTCCTCCCTTCTCCCACCAGGCTCCTCCCTTCTCCACCAGGCTCCTCCCTTCTCCCACCAGGCTCCTCCCCTCTCCCACCAGGCTCCTCCCCTTCTCCCACCAGGCCCCTCCCCTTCTCCCACTAGGCTCCTCCCTTCTCCCACCAGGCTCCTCCCCTCTCCCACCAGGCTCCTCCCCTTCTCCCACCAGGGCCCTCCCCTTCTCCCACCAGGCCCCTCCCCTTCTCCCACCAGGCTCCTCCCTTCTCCCACCAGGGCTCCTCCCCTTCCTCCTTCCTCTTCCTCTCCTCTTCCTCTCCTCTTCCTCTTCTCCCTTCCACCCTTTCCTTTCCTCTTCCTCCTCCTTTCCTTAGTTTTTGTCCTCTTCCTCCCAACTCCCCTCCCCTTTTCCCCCTCTCCTTTTTTCCTCCTCCCCTTCCTTCACCTGCCTCCTCCCCACCTCCTCCTACTTCCCCTTCTCTCCTGTATCACTGTCCACACTGAACCAACAGCAGAGCTCCAGATAGACGCCATCCCCTGCGAGCAGGCTCAAATAGGGACACGGGTGACAACTTAGCCTGGGACGGAACAGGGTGGCGGGAGCAGGATGGAGTCAGGGGAGGCACTAGGGGACGCCTTTGTTTTGTTCTGGATTTTTTAGAAGATTTGTTTATTAATAATTTGTTTATCAAACATTTGTTTCTTTATATGTTTGTTTGTTGTTTTCTAAGACAGGATTTCTCTGTGTAGCAGTCCTGGCCGTCCTGGAACTCGCTCTGTAGACCAGACTGGACTCAAACTCACGGAGATCCGCCTGCCTTTGCCTTCTGAGTGCTGGGATTAAAGGCGTGCAACACCACTGCTTGACAAAAAGTTGTCTGTGCCAGTTGCCTTGTTTTCCGTTTTGTTCCGTTGGGTCTCTTTTTGTTGTTGTTTGCTTTTTCCAGAGCTTGGTGCCTGCTAGGCAAGCACTGCTACCCTGAACGGTGTCCCTAGCCCTCACGATTTATTTTATTTTTACCTCTCTGTCTCCCTCTCTGTGTGTGCACATGCGTGCGTGTGTGTGTGTGTGTGTGTGTGTATGCGCGTGTGTGTTCACATGTGTGTAGGGATGGCTGTGGAGACCAGAAGAGGGTGAGAGGTTAGTGCATCTTCTGGAGCTGGAGCTACAGGGCAGCTTGGAGAACTGAACTCAGGTCCTCTAAAAGAGGGCAAGTGTTCTCAACTGCTAAGCCACCAGCAAAAGGCAGGGAATGCCAGGAGTTCACTGTGGAGCCCAGACCAGCTCTGAATTCATGATAATCCTCCTGTCTTAGCTTCCTTGGTGCTGAGATTACAGGTGTGAGCTACAATACATGGCTGATTTCTAGATCCCTGTGGCGGGAACTCTGGTGTTCCAAACAAGGAGAGAGAGAGATGAGGAAGTGAAGGCCCAGGTGCTATGGAATATTAGTTGAAGTTGCATTACATTTGTTTAGCTGTGGAACAGTTGTTTAATGATGCAAAGATGTGCTGTATTCTTTTATGTTGCATTCCTTTAGCTCTGTGAAGCTGTGTCACTTTGCCTGTCTAAAACACCCGATTGGTCTAATAAAGAGCTGAATGGCCAACAGCTGGGCAGGAGAAAGGATGGGTGGGGCTGTCAGGCAGAGAGACTAAACAGGAGGAGAAATCTAGGCTTGGGAGAAGGGAGGACAGAAGGACACTAAGGGCCAGCCACACAACCAGTCACAGAGTAAGGAGGAAAGGAAGACACGTAGACAGGTAAGAAGCCCAGAGGCAAAATGTAGCTAAAGGGAAAGGGAATAATTTAAGTTGGAAAAGCTGGCTAGACACAGGCCAAGCTAAGGCCGGGCATTCCTAAGTAAGAATAAGTCTCCATGTATTTATTTGGAAGCTGGGCGGTGGGCCCCCAAAAAGTAATAAACGAAAAAACCAACCAACCAAAAAACCCAAGTGCACCCAGCCTTCCTTCCCACCAACATCAAGGAGTTCCAGAAGGACTTACTTTGACACAGAGAAGTGTCAGTTTCATATGCTCTAGTCTCGTTCATGATCTTGTTCCTCACGATCTTCGTGAGGTTTCTGAACAGTGTCTGATACTCCGGGGTGTAGCTTGCTTCTAGAATGACATCACTTTCCACCACGATGCTGCCGTTGCTGCAAGCAGGAAAAACTTCAGCGTTTCCTTCATGGCGCCAACACCCAGCAAGGAAGAAGAAAGCAGCAAGATGGGGAGGCAAAGCAACGGTGTGGCTCGTGCGCCGGAGAGGAGAGGGTCCCTGCACGGTGTGATGGCACACACCTGGAGTCCCAGCCTTCGGGAGGCTGGGGTAGGAGGAGCACAGGTTCAAGGCCAACCTGGGCTACACAGTGAGTGAGGCCTTTGTTTCAGAAGTCCAAAAGAAGTGGAAGAATGGAAGGGGGAAGGAAGGGAAGAGGGAAAGGAAAGGAAAAGGAATGAAAGGAAAAACGAGACCCCCTCCCGAGGGGGGAGCAACTAATAAATTCCAAGGAGTCCGATGAGTAAGAAAATTCAAGATCGGTAAATCTCAGTGTTTGTCACAAAAGCTGACGGATGGAATTCATCTCTAAAATTAGAGGCTTGGGCCGTCAAGACGGCCCTGTGGGCACTTGCAGCCAGGCCTCACGACCCGAGTTCAGTTTCAGGACCCACAGGTAGAAGGAGAGAGAGAGCTCCTGACAGTTACCTTGCGACCTCTGCTCCTCCTCTCGTGTGCTGTGGTACACGCACACCTTTGTTGCACGCACAGCACACGCAATGGTGCAGTAAAATAAAATAAAATACAGGGACTCCTGAGTGGAGACGTGTCGCGGGGATGGAAAATGGGGGAAAGCAAAATGGCAGAGCCTTGAGGAATGAAAAGCAGCAGCTAAAGACTGCAATCTCGGGGCTTGAAGAAGGGGGAGGGGAAGAGGAGGGAGGGAGAGGGGAGGGGAAGAGGAGGGAGAGGGGAGGGAGGAGGAGAAGGGGAGGAGGGAGAGGGAAATGAAAGAGGAGATGAGGAGGAGGAAGAAACGATGAGTTTCTGTTAGAAAGTGGGATTTTCAGTGGCTGATGGAAGAAGAGGCAGACTCCCACGGCTGAGTAAAGTGCTGAGCTGAACTCAAGAAATCCAGTGACAGAGAGGGAGGACTGATGACCAAAGGGATTAAGACTGGGCTGGTTTAACCCCCAGAAACAGCTGACCTGACAAAGGTTAACTCTTGAATCCCAGGCATCAGCCTGGGAATCCAGCATGGGACTGATCAAGACCCCCTGAATCTGGGTGTCAGTGAGGAGGCCTAGGTAATCTATTGAGCCTTGGGCAGCAGATCAGTACCCATCCCGAGTATACACACGGACTTTGGACTCCCATAGAACAATGTGAGGTGCACTCTCACCCTGAACTCTTGAGGAAGGGTCTAGGCCCTGCCCTATATGAAATGACAGATTATGGACACCCCCATGGAGGGCCTCACCCTCCCTGGGGAAATGAGGGGATAATGGGGGGCTGGGGGGAGGGCACGGGAGGAAGTGAGGGAAAGGGAGAGGGACCTGGAACTGACTTGTGAAGCAACCTTGTTTCTAATCTAAATTTAAACTTAAAAATAATAATAAATAATAATAATAAAACTAAGCAGGAAACATTTCCAAAATAAATAAAAGAATTTGCTCATGTTTTATAAGTCTAAAAAAAAAAGTGGGATTCTGCTGCAGCGCTCTTGCACAGAACTTTTAACGGTGGCCACACCCGCTTGGGCGTGGCCTCTGGCGGGCGGAAGCGGAAAGAGGGACGCTTGAGGCCCAGGTTTCCTCTCTGTCTGGTGGGTCAGCCCGGCAGGTAGGAAGGGCAGAGAAGCGCTCCCGCGGTTCTTGGCATTTTTCTTTGTCACTGTTCCCCAGTCCATCATTTATCCTGGGTCTAGTGAAATCATCCTCGCCTTCACTCTACCCTCGAAGCCTCTAAGTGGCCAGTGACACCGCTGAGGGCGACAGTTTTGCCAGGAAGCCACCTGTCGCGGTCACTGCCAGGAGAAGCCGGAGGCCTGTGAGTCAGATCCCGTCCCTTGCAGGACAGTGCAGGCACGGGCAGTCTCATCGCTTGGCACGAGCCTTCCCTAAACTTAAACTCCTTAAATTTAAACTCAAACTCCTTAAACTTGAGCGGCCACAGCTGGGGAAGAATTCTCCCCAGCTGGCCGCGGTTGCTCTGGGTCTCCCCCAGTCCCCTGTGCTCTGCCATTTTGTACTCCAGGGCTAGCGTGTTCCAAGCACCTAACACAGTTTGTTTGGATTTTCTTCTCTGGTTGAAGTAGGATTTCTTTCCATTGCCCGGGCTGACCTGAAATTCGCTGTGCAGCCCAGGCTGTGGACTTCAACTTCCGAGCTTCCTGTCTTAGGCTTCCAAGTACTAGTATTACAAGCTGTGTAGCTCTCAGCTAGGGTTGGCTTTTAATAAAGATTTGCCAAATGAAAAAAATCAGTGGCTATAAAAGTGAATGAGTAGCCGGGCGTTGGTGGCGCACGCCTTTAATCCCAGCACTCGGGAGGCAGAGGCAGGCGGATCTCTGTGAGTTCGAGGCCAGCCTGGTCTACAGAGTGAGTTCCAGGACAGCCTCCAAAGCCACAGAGAAACCCTGTCTCGAAAAACAACAACAACAACAAAAAAGTGAATGAGTACATGAATAAACATGATTGATGGGGAAGTCCTGTGTATATGTCAATAAAGCACTGTTGGCCAACAGGGAAACAAGATAGGTGGGACTAGGTGTCCAGGAGGACTCTGGGTAGGAGAAACACAGGGAGTCACGATATAGTCCGCCAGAGAAGTAAGATGTCTGGAACTTTTCTCCGGTAAGAGAAATACTTAGATTAACAATTACGGGATAAATACTTAAGTCAGAAATAGCCAGTAAGAAACAAGCAAGGCCAACAGCTTCATAAATAATATAGCCTCCTGTGTGTTATTTGGGGACTACAACACGGCAGAGCCCAGGTGACTGGTGGGGAAAAACCAAAGCGGCTGGCAAGGAAAAGGCTTCACTCTACACATGACAAACGATGCAGATAAATGAGCATAGACAATGAAAAACAGGATGGATAGTGAAAGAACAAACTAAGAATGAGCCTCGCTGAGTCAATGGCAGTCATGAGTAAGAGTCACCATGATAGAATTTACATGAACAACTAACTGAGTAACCACAATGAACAAATGAATGAGCAAATTGGGAACGAATGAGTGAATGAACAAATGGTGAGTGAGTGGCCAGGACGACACAGAAATGAATCAGTGATAAATTTATGAGTGCGTGGCAGGTTTTACGGATGAATGAGTGCGTGAGCCAATGATGAGTGAGTCAGGGAGTCCTCCCGTCCCTGAAGGGTGTTGGTAGCTTAACCGCAGGGCAGGAGGAAGCAGCAGAGCAAGAAGGAGGGGGCCCTCGGCTCCCCCAGGACTCACAGCAGCTCTCTAATGATCACTTCTTTGTACTGGGGAAGGTCGTCGCCCTCATAAACTTTATCCATCTGGAAGAGAAACCAGAGGTCAGGCAGAGCTTGAGCCCCATCTTTGGACAGCTCCAGGCGGGGAGGGGTGGAGCCCAGAGAGGGGGGGGAAGGGGCAGAAGCCCCTTCCGTGGGATGCCAGTGGGGTGGGGCTCTGGGAGGAGTCGACCGCGGAACTCTGGGGGACACAGGGCTCACAAGGTGAGCTGCTGGGATAGGCGCCCGCAGCCCCGTTGATTGAGGGCCGCTGCTCCCACCTGGCTCAGGAAGAGGTTCTGGAAGTTCTTGTAGGCCTCGGAGGACTTGTTCTTCATGTCACTCGTGAAGTTCCGGTTGGTCACTTTAACTATCATGGACACTGTAGCATTGACAACATTCGGGATCTCTGTGGGGCCAGACAACATGGCGGATGAGGCGGTGACCCTGAGGACCTGCGGGGATGTCTCTGGGATAGGTAAATTTTTCTGCCCGTTGGGGTCACGGGTGGGAATGAGTAGGGAAGAGGACAGAAACTCAAGAGTAGCTGAGGGTGGCTGAGACTTCTGACTCTACTGTGCGTGTGTGTTCCTATGGTGCGTGTTTGTCGTACATACACTTGTATGGAGTTCAGACACACAGGCTGCCATCTTCCTCTGTCTCTCTCCTCTTTAGTGATTGAGTCAGTCTGTCACCAGGTGTGGAGCTCACCAATCTGGCTAGACTGGCTGGCCAGAGGACCTTCAGGGGTCTGCGTGTCCCCTCCTCAGGGCTGAGATGGCCCAGTGTTTGACACGGGTTCCGGGAACCCAAACTCAGATCTCCATATTTACACTGAGAATACTTTACGGATGGAAGTGTCTCCCCAGCCCCAGCCCTGGTTTTTGAGATAAGAGAGAGAGCTAATGGCCTGATGGAGACCCAGGGCGTCAGGCAAAAGGCTTCACAAGGGGTTGGGGTAGAAAGCTCCTGATTGGAGGAGAGTCCAGGAGGGTCAGCCTGGAAGTGAGAGGCGGGAAGACCAGGACAGGGATGACACTACCTCTTCTTCTGGGGTGATGCCATGGGAATGGTGGGTTAATATCCCAACGTGGCCTGACACGTCAGGTGTCAAGGGGCACAGGGAGGGGCCCTTACCCACGGGGAAGGAGTACAGGATGGAGTCGCAGAGCTGGCCCGTGTAGCCTGACTTGCATTCACACTGATGTCCGTTCCACTTTCCGTTGTGGCAGTCCTCTGGGAAAGGACAGGATTAAAAGAAGTCATTGAGAAAGCTCAGGAGACAACAACACGTGCTCCCGTCCAGGTGTCATCCAAGCCCAGAATGGGACAAGGGGAATAAGACCAGACGACGGTACAACGTCTGAAAATCTTTCATTCGCACCTCATTCCTAGAAACGAGAGGGGAAAGGGGAGACAGAAATGGGTTTCAGGATACTAGAAACACAATAGAAGAAAGAAAGAGGAGAGGAAACCTATGAGTCAAAAGAACCAACGGTGTGCCGGGCGTGACGACCTACGCCTGTAATCACACATTCGAGAGGAAGAGGCAGATGGATCACAAGATCGGACCAAGATGCACAGTGAAATGTTGCTCCAGCACTCCCAACCCATTCCAAAGGCAAAGCGCGTTAATATGACAGGTATACACGGTGTCTGCAAATATCAGGAGACACGCAAATGGTCCCACAGGAGAAACCACGGTAGACCGCCAAGACCCAAGGAGACACACAGAATCAAAGCCATGAAACTTACGCGGTGGCAAAGAGCTGTGTGGAGTCGTCACGGAAGCAGGCGGTGTCCTGGGGAAAGGAGGACGGGCAGAAGAGACGCCACTGAAGACTGGGACGGTGCTGTAAGGGGAGGGGAGGTGGGCGGAGGACGGAGGAGAAGAAGAGGGAGGCCCTGTCTGGGACGGAGAGGAGTCGTGGACTGGCAAGGACGAGAGATGATGCTGTGAAGTCAGAGGCTCAGAACCGGGAACTGTGGTTTCAGGACGATGGGTTGATGTCGGGGAGTGCGTAGAGGTTGGGTTACTAGGAAGACTAGGGTAAGAAGAAGGAGAGACAGGGCGTGGGCGAGTGGCAGAGGGAGCTGGAAGCCATGGTGACCGCGAACTGCTGGGAGAGGAAGAAAGTCCTTCTGTTACTAAAGTGGTTGAGGGTAACTCTGATGGCAAACGGACGACAGGTGACTGATCAAAATACACGGTAGATGCAGAACTCAGGAAGGGACGACGGGTGGACACTGAAGTCCCACTACTGGAAAAGGCGGTTAACGGTGGATTGGAGACAGATTTGGAGGTCTCCGATTGTTGAGTGGCCTGTGTTGAAAGCACGCCGCTCAGGGAGGTTGTGTGTGCCCCCAACTGTCCTGTGGTGGGTGAGGTGTCAGCAGTTGCAGGTGTTGGTGTGGAAACTGGACTGCTCTGGAATAATGTGGATTCCTTCACGTAGGCTGTTGTTTGAGACATGTCAGGAGCTTGAGTTGCTTGTGTGGAAATCGGGCTGCTAGGGTATGTTGTGGACGCCTGGGGTTGGTGGGTGGTGTGGGAGCTCTGAGTGGGGACAGCTGTCTCTGGTGAAACGGAGCTGGCCGCAAAGGTCGTAGAGTCCTGAGGGAAGACTCCTGGGGTGTTGTCCGTGCCCTGAGTGTCCTGTGTGGAAATCGGGTGGTTTGTGGAAGTTGAAGATTCCTCAGGTTGTGATGTGGTGTAGGTGGTCTCAGGGGGTACAGCAGTCTCTGTTGAAATTGTGGTGCTCTGGAGAGTGGTCCATTCCTGAGTGAACCCTGTTCCCTGAGAGCTCCTGGTTACTGGAGGTGCTTGTGTAGAAACCAAGCCGCTCAGGGAGGTTGTGTGTGCCTCAGTGTGTCCTGTGGTTGGAGAGGTGTGAAGAGGAAGGGCTGTTTCTGTGGAAACCGCATGGCTGGGGAAGGTTGTAGGTGCATGAGTGGACCTTACTTCTGAGGTCTCTGTAGGTTGAGTTGCCTGTGTTGAGGTCAAGGTCCAATAGTGCGTTGTGGACGCCTCACTTACAGGTGAGGTGTGGGAAGTCTCAGTGGGTACAGGGGTTTCTCTTCCAACTGAGGGTGATGGGAAGAGGGTAGGTCCGTGAGTCAAGAGTGTTGTGGATGTCTCAGCGTCTTGAGTTGTTTGAGTAGAAGTTGGAATATGTGGTGAGGCTGTAGGCTCCTCAGTAACAGCTGAGATGTAGGAGGTCTCAGGAATTCCAGCTGTTTCTGTGAAAACTGTGCTTGTTGGGGAGGCTGTGGACTCCTGAGTGAAGACTGTCGATTGTGGGATCCCTGCTGTTGAAGTTGGGTGGCTTTGGTAGGCCGTGGAAGCTTCAGTTGGGGCTGCAGTGAAGGACGTCTCAGGAGGTAGGGCTGTTTGTGAGGAACCTGAGCTGGTTGTAGCTTCCTCTGTGAAGACTGTAGTCTGCAAGGAATCGGTGTTTTGAGAAGAATGCGTGGAAACTGGGCTTCTTGGGGAGACTGTAGAAGGCTCCGTCAGGGCTGAGGTGTGGCTGGTCTCAGGAGGTAGAGCAGTCTCTGTTGAAATTGAGGTGTTCCGGAGAGTTGTGGCCTCCTGAGTGAAGACTGTTCCCTGAGAGGTCTCCGTGTCTTGAGTGGCCTGTGTTGAAAGCACGCCGCTCAGGGAGGTTGTGTGTGCCTCCAACTGTCCTGTGGTGGGTGAGGTGTCAGCAGTTGCAGGTGTTGGTGTAGAAACTGGACTGCTCTGGAATAATGTGGATTCCTTCACGTAGGCTGTTGTTTGAGACATGTCAGGAGCTTGAGTTGCTTGTGTGGAAATCGGGCTGCTAGGGTATGTTGTGGACGCCTGGGGTTGGTGGGTGGTGTGGGAGCTCTGAGCGGGGACAGCTGTCTCTGGTGAAACGGAGCTGGCCGCAAAGGTCGTAGAGTCCTGAGGGAAGACTCCTGGGGTGTTGTCCGTGCCCTGAGTGTCCTGTGTGGAAATCGGGTGGTTTGTGGAAGTTGAAGATTCCTCAGGTTGTGATGTGGTGTAGGTGGTCTCAGGGGGTACAGCAGTCTCTGTTGAAATTGTGGTGCTCTGGAGAGTGGTCCATTCCTGAGTGAACCCTGTTCCCTGAGAGCTCCTGGTTACTGGAGGTGCTTGTGTAGAAACCAAGCCGCTCAGGGAGGTTGTGTGTGCCTCAGTGTGTCCTGTGGTTGGAGAGGTGTGAAGAGGAAGGGCTGTTTCTGTGGAAACCGCATGGCTGGGGAAGGTTGTAGGTGCATGAGTGGACCTTATTTCTGAGGTCTCTGTAGGTTGAGTTGCCTGTGTTGAGGTCAAGGTCCAATAGTGCGTTGTGGACGCCTCACTTACAGGTGAGGTGTGGGAAGTCTCAGTGGGTACAGGGGTTTCTCTTCCAACTGAGGGTGATGGGAAGAGGGTAGGTCCGTGAGTCAAGAGTGTTGTGGATGTCTCAGCGTCTTGAGTTGTTTGAGTAGAAGTTGGAATATGTGGTGAGGCTGTAGGCTCCTCAGTAACAGCTGAGATGTAGGAGGTCTCAGGAATTCCAGCTGTTTCTGTGAAAACTGTGCTTGTTGGGGAGGCTGTGGACTCCTGAGTGAAGACTGTCGATTGTGGGATCCCTGCTGTTGAAGTTGGGTGGCTTTGGTAGGCCGTGGAAGCTTCAGTTGGGGCTGCAGTGAAGGACGTCTCAGGAGGTAGGGCTGTTTGTGAGGAACCTGAGCTGGTTGTAGCTTCCTCTGTGAAGACTGTAGTCTGCAAGGAATCGGTGTTTTGAGAAGAATGCGTGGAAACTGGGCTTCTTGGGGAGACTGTAGAAGGCTCCGTCAGGGCTGAGGTGTGGCTGGTCTCAGGAGGAAGAGCAGTCTCTGTTGAAATTGAGGTGTTCCGGAGAGTTGTGGCCTCTTGAGTGAAGACTGTTCCCTGAGAGGTCTCCGTGTCTTGAGTGGCCTGTGTTGAAAGCACGCCGCTCAGGGAGGTTGTGTGTGCCCCCAACTGTCCTGTGGTGGGTGAGGTGTCAGCAGTTGCAGGTGTTGGTGTGGAAACTGGACTGCTCTGGAATAATGTGGATTCCTTCACGTAGGCTGTTGTTTGAGACATGTCAGGAGCTTGAGTTGCTTGTGTGGAAATCGGGCTGCTAGGGGATGTTGTGGACGCCTGGGGTTGGTGGGTGGTGTGGGAGCTCTGAGCGGGGACAGCTGTCTCTGGTGAAACGGAGCTGGCCGCAAAGGTCGTAGAGTCCTGAGGGAAGACTCCTGGGGTGTTGTCCGTGCCCTGAGTGTCCTGTGTGGAAATCGGGTGGTTTGTGGAAGTTGAAGATTCCTCAGGTTGTGATGTGGTGTAGGTGGTCTCAGGGGGTACAGCAGTCTCTGTTGAAATTGTGGTGCTCTGGAGAGTGGTCCATTCCTGAGTGAACCCTGTTCCCTGAGAGCTCCTGGTTACTGGAGGTGCTTGTGTAGAAACCAAGCCGCTCAGGGAGGTTGTGTGTGCCTCAGTGTGTCCTGTGGTTGGAGAGGTGTGAAGAGGAAGGGCTGTTTCTGTGGAAACCGCATGGCTGGGGAAGGTTGTAGGTGCATGAGTGGACCTTACTTCTGAGGTCTCTGTAGGTTGAGTTGCCTGTGTTGAGGTCAAGGTCCAATAGTGCGTTGTGGACGCCTCACTTACAGGTGAGGTGTGGGAAGTCTCAGTGGGTACAGGGGTTTCTCTTCCAACTGAGGGTGATGGGAAGAGGGTAGGTCCGTGAGTCAAGAGTGTTGTGGATGTCTCAGCGTCTTGAGTTGTTTGAGTAGAAGTTGGAATATGTGGTGAGGCTGTAGGCTCCTCAGTAACAGCTGAGGTGTAGGAGGTCTCAGGAATTCCAGCTGTTTCTGTGAAAACTGTGCTTGTTGGGGAGGCTGTGGACTCCTGAGTGAAGACTGTCGATTGTGGGATCCCTGCTGTTGAAGTTGGGTGGCTTTGGTAGGCCGTGGAAGCTTCAGTTGGGGCTGCAGTGAAGGACGTCTCAGGAGGTAGGGCTGTTTGTGAGGAACCTGAGCTGGTTGTAGCTTCCTCTGTGAAGACTGTAGTCTGCAAGGAATCGGTGTTTTGAGAAGAATGCGTGGAAACTGGGCTTCTTGGGGAGCCTGTAGAAGGCTCCGTCAGGGCTGAGGTGTGGCTGGTCTCAGGAGGAAGAGCAGTCTCTGTTGAAATTGAGGTGTTCCGGAGAGTTGTGGCCTCCTGAGTGAAGACTGTTCCCTGAGAGGTCTCCGTGTCTTGAGTGGCCTGTGTTGAAAGCACGCCGCTCAGGGAGGTTGTGTGTGCCCCCAACTGTCCTGTGGTGGGTGAGGTGTCAGCAGTTGCAGGTGTTGGTGTGGAAACTGGACTGCTCTGGAATAATGTGGATTCCTTCACGTAGGCTGTTGTTTGAGACATGTCAGGAGCTTGAGTTGCTTGTGTGGAAATCGGGCTGCTAGGGTATGTTGTGAACGCCTGGGGTTGGTGGTTGGTGTGGGAGCTCTGAGCGGGGACAGCTGTCTCTGGTGAAACGGAGCTGGCCGCAAAGGTCGTAGAGTCCTGAGGGAAGACTCCTGGGGTGTTGTCCGTGCCCTGAGTGTCCTGTGTGGAAATCGGGTGGTTTGTGGAAGTTGAAGATTCCTCAGGTTGTGATGTGGTGTAGGTGGTCTCAGGGGGTACAGCAGTCTCTGTTGAAATTGTGGTGCTCTGGAGAGTGGTCCATTCCTGAGTGAACCCTGTTCCCTGAGAGCTCCTGGTTACTGGAGGTGCTTGTGTAGAAACCAAGCCGCTCAGGGAGGTTGTGTGTGCCTCAGTGTGTCCTGTGGTTGGAGAGATGTGAAGAGGAAGGGCTGTTTCTGTGGAAACCGCATGGCTGGGGAAGGTTGTAGGTGCATGAGTGGACCTTATTTCTGAGGTCTCTGTAGGTTGAGTTGCCTGTGTTGAGGTCAAGGTCCAATAGTGCGTTGTGGACGCCTCACTTACAGGTGAGGTGTGGGAAGTCTCAGTGGGTACAGGGGTTTCTGTTCCAACTGAGGGTGATGGGAAGTGGGTAGGTCCTTGAGTCAAGAGTGTTGTGGATGTCTCAGCGTCTTGAGTTGTTTGAGTAGAAGTTGGAATATGTGGTGAGGCTGTAGGCTCATCAGTAACAGCTGAGGTGTAGGAGGTCTCAGGAATTCCAGCTGTTTCTGTGAAAACTGTGCTTGTTGGGGAGGCTGTGGACTCCTGAGTGAAGACTGTCGATTGTGGGATCCCTTCTGTTGAAGTTGGGTGGCTTTGGTAGGCCGTGGAAGCTTCAGTTGGGGCTGCAGTGAAGGACGTCTCAGGAGGTAGGGCTGTTTGTGAGGAACCTGAGCTGGTTGTAGCTTCCTCTGTGAAGACTGTAGTCTGCAAGGAATCGGTGTTTTGAGAAGAATGCGTGGAAACTGGGCTTCTTGGGGAGACTGTAGAAGGCTCCGTCAGGGCTGAGGTGTGGCTGGTCTCAGGAGGAAGAGCAGTCTCTGTTGAAATTGAGGTGTTCCGGAGAGTTGTGGCCTCCTGAGTGAAGACTGTTCCCTGAGAGGTCTCCTTGTCTTGAGTGGCCTGTGTTGAAAGCACGCCGCTCAGGGAGGTTGTGTGTGCCACCAACTGTCCTGTGGTGGGTGAGGTGTCAGCAGTTGCAGGTGTTGGTGTGGAAACTGGACTGCTCTGGAATAATGTGGATTCCTTCACGTAGGCTGTTGTTTGAGACATGTCAGGAGCTTGAGTTGCTTGTGTGGAAATCGGGCTGCTAGGGTATGTTGTGGACGCCTGGGGTTGGTGGGTGGTGTGGGAGCTCTGAGCGGGGACAGCTGTCTCTGGTGAAACGGAGCTGGCCGCAAAGGTCGTAGAGTCCTGAGGGAAGACTCCTGGGGTGTTGTCCGTGCCCTGAGTGTCCTGTGTGGAAATCGGGTGGTTTGTGGAAGTTGAAGATTCCTCAGGTTGTGATGTGGTGTAGGTGGTCTCAGGGGGTACAGCAGTCTCTGTTGAAATTGTGGTGCTCTGGAGAGTGGTCCATTCCTGAGTGAACCCTGTTCCCTGAGAGCTCCTGGTTACTGGAGGTGCTTGTGTAGAAACCAAGCCGCTCAGGGAGGTTGTGTGTGCCTCAGTGTGTCCTGTGGTTGGAGAGATGTGAAGAGGAAGGGCTGTTTCTGTGGAAACCGCATGGCTGGGGAAGGTTGTAGGTGCATGAGTGGACCTTATTTCTGAGGTCTCTGTAGGTTGAGTTGCCTGTGTTGAGGTCAAGGTCCAATAGTGCGTTGTGGACGCCTCACTTACAGGTGAGGTGTGGGAAGTCTCAGTGGGTACAGGGGTTTCTGTTCCAACTGAGGGTGATGGGAAGTGGGTAGGTCCTTGAGTCAAGAGTGTTGTGGATGTCTCAGCGTCTTGAGTTGTTTGAGTAGAAGTTGGAATATGTGGTGAGGCTGTAGGCTCATCAGTAACAGCTGAGGTGTAGGAGGTCTCAGGAATTCCAGCTGTTTCTGTGAAAACTGTGCTTGTTGGGGAGGCTGTGGACTCCTGAGTGAAGACTGTCGATTGTGGGATCCCTTCTGTTGAAGTTGGGTGGCTTTGGTAGGCCGTGGAAGCTTCAGTTGGGGCTGCAGTGAAGGACGTCTCAGGAGGTAGGGCTGTTTGTGAGGAACCTGAGCTGGTTGTAGCTTCCTCTGTGAAGACTGTAGTCTGCAAGGAATCGGTGTTTTGAGAAGAATGCGTGGAAACTGGGCTTCTTGGGGAGACTGTAGAAGGCTCCGTCAGGGCTGAGGTGTGGCTGGTCTCAGGAGGAAGAGCAGTCTCTGTTGAAATTGAGGTGTTCCGGAGAGTTGTGGCCTCCTGAGTGAAGACTGTTCCCTGAGAGGTCTCCTTGTCTTGAGTGGCCTGTGTTGAAAGCACGCCGCTCAGGGAGGTTGTGTGTGCCACCAACTGTCCTGTGGTGGGTGAGGTGTCAGCAGTTGCAGGTGTTGGTGTGGAAACTGGACTGCTCTGGAATAATGTGGATTCCTTCACGTAGGCTGTTGTTTGAGACATGTCAGGAGCTTGAGTTGCTTGTGTGGAAATCGGGCTGCTAGGGTATGTTGTGGACGCCTGGGGTTGGTGGGTGGTGTGGGAGCTCTGAGCGGGGACAGCTGTCTCTGGTGAAACGGAGCTGGCCGCAAAGGTCGTAGAGTCCTGAGGGAAGACTCCTGGGGTGTTGTCCGTGCCCTGAGTGTCCTGTGTGGAAATCGGGTGGTTTGTGGAAGTTGAAGATTCCTCAGGTTGTGATGTGGTGTAGGTGGTCTCAGGGGGTACAGCAGTCTCTGTTGAAATTGTGGTGCTCTGGAGAGTGGTCCATTCCTGAGTGAACCCTGTTCCCTGAGAGCTCCTGGTTACTGGAGGTGCTTGTGTAGAAACCAAGCCGCTCAGGGAGGTTGTGTGTGCCTCAGTGTGTCCTGTGGTTGGAGAGGTGTGAAGAGGAAGGGCTGTTTCTGTGGAAACCGCATGGCTGGGGAAGGTTGTAGGTGCATGAGTGGACCTTACTTCTGAGGTCTCTGTAGGTTGAGTTGCCTGTGTTGAGGTCAAGGTCCAATAGTGCGTTGTGGACGCCTCACTTACAGGTGAGGTGTGGGAAGTCTCAGTGGGTACAGGGGTTTCTGTTCCAACTGAGGGTGATGGGAAGAGGGTAGGTCCTTGAGTCAAGAGTGTTGTGGATGTCTCAGCGTCTTGAGTTGTTTGAGTAGAAGTTGGAATATGTGGTGAGGCTGTAGGCTCCTCAGTAACAGCTGAGGTGTAGGAGGTCTCAGGAATTCCAGCTGTTTCTGTGAAAACTGTGCTTGTTGGGGAGGCTGTGGACTCCTGAGTGAAGACTGTCGATTGTGGGAACCCTGCTGTTGAAGTTGGGTGGCTTTGGTAGGCCGTGGAAGCTTCAGTTGGGGCTGCAGTGAAGGACGTCTCAGGAGGTAGGGCTGTTTGTGAGGAACCTGAGCTGGTTGTAGCTTCCTCTGTGAAGACTGTAGTCTGCAAGGAATCGGTGTTTTGAGAAGAATGCGTGGAAACTGGGCTTCTTGGGGAGACTGTAGAAGGCTCCGTCAGGGCTGAGGTGTGGCTGGTCTCAGGAGGAAGAGCAGTCTCTGTTGAAATTGAGGTGTTCCGGAGAGTTGTGGCCTCCTGAGTGAAGACTGTTCCCTGAGAGGTCTCCGTGTCTTGAGTGGCCTGTGTTGAAAGCACGCCGCTCAGGGAGGTTGTGTGTGCCCCCAACTGTCCTGTGGTGGGTGAGGTGTCAGCAGTTGCAGGTGTTGGTGTGGAAACTGGACTGCTCTGGAATAATGTGGATTCCTTCACGTAGGCTGTTGTTTGAGACATGTCAGGAGCTTGAGTTGCTTGTGTGGAAATCGGGCTGCTAGGGTATGTTGTGGACGCCTGGGGTTGGTGGGTGGTGTGGGAGCTCTGAGCGGGGACAGCTGTCTCTGGTGAAACGGAGCTGGCCGCAAAGGTCGTAGAGTCCTGAGGGAAGACTCCTGGGGTGTTGTCCGTGCCCTGAGTGTCCTGTGTGGAAATCGGGTGGTTTGTGGAAGTTGAAGATTCCTCAGGTTGTGATGTGGTGTAGGTGGTCTCAGGGGGTACAGCAGTCTCTGTTGAAATTGTGGTGCTCTGGAGAGTGGTCCATTCCTGAGTGAACCCTGTTCCCTGAGAGCTCCTGGTTACTGGAGGTGCTTGTGTAGAAACCAAGCCGCTCAGGGAGGTTGTGTGTGCCTCAGTGTGTCCTGTGGTTGGAGAGGTGTGAAGAGGAAGGGCTGTTTCTGTGGAAACCGCATGGCTGGGGAAGGTTGTAGGTGCATGAGTGGACCTTACTTCTGAGGTCTCTGTAGGTTGAGTTGCCTGTGTTGAGGTCAAGGTCCAATAGTGCGTTGTGGACGCCTCACTTACAGGTGAGGTGTGGGAAGTCTCAGTGGGTACAGGGGTTTCTGTTCCAACTGAGGGTGATGGGAAGAGGGTAGGTCCTTGAGTCAAGAGTGTTGTGGATGTCTCAGCGTCTTGAGTTGTTTGAGTAGAAGTTGGAATATGTGGTGAGGCTGTAGGCTCCTCAGTAACAGCTGAGGTGTAGGAGGTCTCAGGAATTCCAGCTGTTTCTGTGAAAACTGTGCTTGTTGGGGAGGCTGTGGACTCCTGAGTGAAGACTGTCGATTGTGGGATCCCTGCTGTTGAAGTTGGGTGGCTTTGGTAGGCCGTGGAAGCTTCAGTTGGGGCTGCAGTGAAGGACGTCTCAGGAGGTAGGGCTGTTTGTGAGGAACCTGAGCTGGTTGTAGCTTCCTCTGTGAAGACTGTAGTCTGCAAGGAATCGGTGTTTTGAGAAGAATGCGTGGAAACTGGGCTTCTTGGGGAGACTGTAGAAGGCTCCGTCAGGGCTGAGGTGTGGCTGGTCTCAGGAGGAAGAGCAGTCTCTGTTGAAATTGAGGTGTTCCGGAGAGTTGTGGCCTCCTGAGTGAAGACTGTTCCCTGAGAGGTCTCCGTGTCTTGAGTGGCCTGTGTTGAAAGCACGCCGCTCAGGGAGGTTGTGTGTGCCCCCAACTGTCCTGTGGTGGGTGAGGTGTCAGCAGTTGCAGGTGTTGGTGTGGAAACTGGACTGCTCTGGAATAATGTGGATTCCTTCACGTAGGCTGTTGTTTGAGACATGTCAGGAGCTTGAGTTGCTTGTGTGGAAATCGGGCTGCTAGGGTATGTTGTGGACGCCTGGGGTTGGTGGGTGGTGTGGGAGCTCTGAGCGGGGACAGCTGTCTCTGGTGAAACGGAGCTGGCCGCAAAGGTCGTAGAGTCCTGAGGGAAGACTCCTGGGGTGTTGTCCGTGCCCTGAGTGTCCTGTGTGGAAATCGGGTGGTTTGTGGAAGTTGAAGATTCCTCAGGTTGTGATGTGGTGTAGGTGGTCTCAGGGGGTACAGCAGTCTCTGTTGAAATTGTGGTGCTCTGGAGAGTGGTCCATTCCTGAGTGAACCCTGTTCCCTGAGAGCTCCTGGTTACTGGAGGTGCTTGTGTAGAAACCAAGCCGCTCAGGGAGGTTGTGTGTGCCTCAGTGTGTCCTGTGGTTGGAGAGGTGTGAAGAGGAAGGGCTGTTTCTGTGGAAACCGCATGGCTGGGGAAGGTTGTAGGTGCATGAGTGGACCTTACTTCTGAGGTCTCTGTAGGTTGAGTTGCCTGTGTTGAGGTCAAGGTCCAATAGTGCGTTGTGGACGCCTCACTTACAGGTGAGGTGTGGGAAGTCTCAGTGGGTACAGGGGTTTCTGTTCCAACTGAGGGTGATGGGAAGAGGGTAGGTCCTTGAGTCAAGAGTGTTGTGGATGTCTCAGCGTCTTGAGTTGTTTGAGTAGAAGTTGGAATATGTGGTGAGGCTGTAGGCTCCTCAGTAACAGCTGAGGTGTAGGAGGTCTCAGGAATTCCAGCTGTTTCTGTGAAAACTGTGCTTGTTGGGGAGGCTGTGGACTCCTGAGTGAAGACTGTCGATTGTGGGATCCCTGCTGTTGAAGTTGGGTGGCTTTGGTAGGCCGTGGAAGCTTCAGTTGGGGCTGCAGTGAAGGACGTCTCAGGAGGTAGGGCTGTTTGTGAGGAACCTGAGCTGGTTGTAGCTTCCTCTGTGAAGACTGTAGTCTGCAAGGAATCGGTGTTTTGAGAAGAATGCGTGGAAACTGGGCTTCTTGGGGAGACTGTAGAAGGCTCCGTCAGGGCTGAGGTGTGGCTGGTCTCAGGAGGAAGAGCAGTCTCTGTTGAAATTGAGGTGTTCCGGAGAGTTGTGGCCTCCTGAGTGAAGACTGTTCCCTGAGAGGTCTCCGTGTCTTGAGTGGCCTGTGTTGAAAGCACGCCGCTCAGGGAGGTTGTGTGTGCCCCCAACTGTCCTGTGGTGGGTGAGGTGTCAGCAGTTGCAGGTGTTGGTGTGGAAACTGGACTGCTCTGGAATAATGTGGATTCCTTCACGTAGGCTGTTGTTTGAGACATGTCAGGAGCTTGAGTTGCTTGTGTGGAAATCGGGCTGCTAGGGTATGTTGTGGACGCCTGGGGTTGGTGGGTGGTGTGGGAGCTCTGAGCGGGGACAGCTGTCTCTGGTGAAACGGAGCTGGCCGCAAAGGTCGTAGAGTCCTGAGGGAAGACTCCTGGGGTGTTGTCCGTGCCCTGAGTGTCCTGTGTGGAAATCGGGTGGTTTGTGGAAGTTGAAGATTCCTCAGGTTGTGATGTGGTGTAGGTGGTCTCAGGGGGTACAGCAGTCTCTGTTGAAATTGTGGTGCTCTGGAGAGTGGTCCATTCCTGAGTGAACCCTGTTCCCTGAGAGCTCCTGGTTACTGGAGGTGCTTGTGTAGACACCAAGCCGCTCAGGGAGGTTGTGTGTGCCTCAGTGTGTCCTGTGGTTGGAGAGGTGTGAAGAGGAAGGGCTGTTTCTGTGGAAACCGCATGGCTGGGGAAGGTTGTAGGTGCATGAGTGGACCTTACTTCTGAGGTCTCTGTAGGTTGAGTTGCCTGTGTTGAGGTCAAGGTCCAATAGTGCGTTGTGGACGCCTCACTTACAGGTGAGGTGTGGGAAGTCTCAGTGGGTACAGGGGTTTCTGTTCCAACTGAGGGTGATGGGAAGAGGGTAGGTCCTTGAGTCAAGAGTGTTGTGGATGTCTCAGCGTCTTGAGTTGTTTGAGTAGAAGTTGGAATATGTGGTGAGGCTGTAGGCTCCTCAGTAACAGCTGAGGTGTAGGAGGTCTCAGGAATTCCAGCTGTTTCTGTGAAAACTGTGCTTGTTGGGGAGGCTGTGGACTCCTGAGTGAAGACTGTCGATTGTGGGATCCCTGCTGTTGAAGTTGGGTGGCTTTGGTAGGCCGTGGAAGCTTCAGTTGGGGCTGCAGTGAAGGACGTCTCAGGAGGTAGGGCTGTTTGTGAGGAACCTGAGCTGGTTGTAGCTTCCTCTGTGAAGACTGTAGTCTGCAAGGAATCGGTGTTTTGAGAAGAATGCGTGGAAACTGGGCTTCTTGGGGAGACTGTAGAAGGCTCCGTCAGGGCTGAGGTGTGGCTGGTCTCAGGAGGAAGAGCAGTCTCTGTTGAAATTGAGGTGTTCCGGAGAGTTGTGGCCTCCTGAGTGAAGACTGTTCCCTGAGAGGTCTCCGTGTCTTGAGTGGCCTGTGTTGAAAGCACGCCGCTCAGGGAGGTTGTGTGTGCCCCCAACTGTCCTGTGGTGGGTGAGGTGTCAGCAGTTGCAGGTGTTGGTGTGGAAACTGGACTGCTCTGGAATAATGTGGATTCCTTCACGTAGGCTGTTGTTTGAGACATGTCAGGAGCTTGAGTTGCTTGTGTGGAAATCGGGCTGCTAGGGTATGTTGTGGACGCCTGGGGTTGGTGGGTGGTGTGGGAGCTCTGAGCGGGGACAGCTGTCTCTGGTGAAACGGAGCTGGCCGCAAAGGTCGTAGAGTCCTGAGGGAAGACTCCTGGGGTGTTGTCCGTGCCCTGAGTGTCCTGTGTGGAAATCGGGTGGTTTGTGGAAGTTGAAGATTCCTCAGGTTGTGATGTGGTGTAGGTGGTCTCAGGGGGTACAGCAGTCTCTGTTGAAATTGTGGTGCTCTGGAGAGTGGTCCATTCCTGAGTGAACCCTGTTCCCTGAGAGCTCCTGGTTACTGGAGGTGCTTGTGTAGAAACCAAGCCGCTCAGGGAGGTTGTGTGTGCCTCAGTGTGTCCTGTGGTTGGAGAGGTGTGAAGAGGAAGGGCTGTTTCTGTGGAAACCGCATGGCTGGGGAAGGTTGTAGGTGCATGAGTGGACCTTACTTCTGAGGTCTCTGTAGGTTGAGTTGCCTGTGTTGAGGTCAAGGTCCAATAGTGCGTTGTGGACGCCTCACTTACAGGTGAGGTGTGGGAAGTCTCAGTGGGTACAGGGGTTTCTGTTCCAACTGAGGGTGATGGGAAGAGGGTAGGTCCTTGAGTCAAGAGTGTTGTGGATGTCTCAGCGTCTTGAGTTGTTTGAGTAGAAGTTGGAATATGTGGTGAGGCTGTAGGCTCCTCAGTAACAGCTGAGGTGTAGGAGGTCTCAGGAATTCCAGCTGTTTCTGTGAAAACTGTGCTTGTTGGGGAGGCTGTGGACTCCTGAGTGAAGACTGTCGATTGTGGGATCCCTGCTGTTGAAGTTGGGTGGCTTTGGTAGGCCGTGGAAGCTTCAGTTGGGGCTGCAGTGAAGGACGTCTCAGGAGGTAGGGCTGTTTGTGAGGAACCTGAGCTGGTTGTAGCTTCCTCTGTGAAGACTGTAGTCTGCAAGGAATCGGTGTTTTGAGAAGAATGCGTGGAAACTGGGCTTCTTGGGGAGACTGTAGAAGGCTCCGTCAGGGCTGAGGTGTGGCTGGTCTCAGGAGGAAGAGCAGTCTCTGTTGAAATTGAGGTGTTCCGGAGAGTTGTGGCCTCCTGAGTGAAGACTGTTCCCTGAGAGGTCTCCGTGTCTTGAGTGGCCTGTGTTGAAAGCACGCCGCTCAGGGAGGTTGTGTGTGCCACCAACTGTCCTGTGGTGGGTGAGGTGTCAGCAGTTGCAGGTGTTGGTGTGGAAACTGGACTGCTCTGGAATAATGTGGATTCCTTCACGTAGGCTGTTGTTTGAGACATGTCAGGAGCTTGAGTTGCTTGTGTGGAAATCGGGCTGCTAGGGTATGTTGTGGACGCCTGGGGTTGGTGGGTGGTGTGGGAGCTCTGAGCGGGGACAGCTGTCTCTGGTGAAACGGAGCTGGCCGCAAAGGTCGTAGAGTCCTGAGGGAAGACTCCTGGGGTGTTGTCCGTGCCCTGAGTGTCCTGTGTGGAAATCGGGTGGTTTGTGGAAGTTGAAGATTCCTCAGGTTGTGATGTGGTGTAGGTGGTCTCAGGGGGTACAGCAGTCTCTGTTGAAATTGTGGTGCTCTGGAGAGTGGTCCATTCCTGAGTGAACCCTGTTCCCTGAGAGCTCCTGGTTACTGGAGGTGCTTGTGTAGACACCAAGCCGCTCAGGGAGGTTGTGTGTGCCTCAGTGTGTCCTGTGGTTGGAGAGGTGTGAAGAGGAAGGGCTGTTTCTGTGGAAACCGCATGGCTGGGGAAGGTTGTAGGTGCATGAGTGGACCTTACTTCTGAGGTCTCTGTAGGTTGAGTTGCCTGTGTTGAGGTCAAGGTCCAATAGTGCGTTGTGGACGCCTCACTTACAGGTGAGGTGTGGGAAGTCTCAGTGGGTACAGGGGTTTCTGTTCCAACTGAGGGTGATGGGAAGAGGGTAGGTCCTTGAGTCAAGAGTGTTGTGGATGTCTCAGCGTCTTGAGTTGTTTGAGTAGAAGTTGGAATATGTGGTGAGGCTGTAGGCTCCTCAGTAACAGCTGAGGTGTAGGAGGTCTCAGGAATTCCAGCTGTTTCTGTGAAAACTGTGCTTGTTGGGGAGGCTGTGGACTCCTGAGTGAAGACTGTCGATTGTGGGATCCCTGCTGTTGAAGTTGGGTGGCTTTGGTAGGCCGTGGAAGCTTCAGTTGGGGCTGCAGTGAAGGACGTCTCAGGAGGTAGGGCTGTTTGTGAGGAACCTGAGCTGGTTGTAGCTTCCTCTGTGAAGACTGTAGTCTGCAAGGAATCGGTGTTTTGAGAAGAATGCGTGGAAACTGGGCTTCTTGGGGAGACTGTAGAAGGCTCCGTCAGGGCTGAGGTGTGGCTGGTCTCAGGAGGAAGAGCAGTCTCTGTTGAAATTGAGGTGTTCCGGAGAGTTGTGGCCTCCTGAGTGAAGACTGTTCCCTGAGAGGTCTCCGTGTCTTGAGTGGCCTGTGTTGAAAGCACGCCGCTCAGGGAGGTTGTGTGTGCCCCCAACTGTCCTGTGGTGGGTGAGGTGTCAGCAGTTGCAGGTGTTGGTGTGGAAACTGGACTGCTCTGGAATAATGTGGATTCCTTCACGTAGGCTGTTGTTTGAGACATGTCAGGAGCTTGAGTTGCTTGTGTGGAAATCGGGCTGCTAGGGTATGTTGTGGACGCCTGGGGTTGGTGGGTGGTGTGGGAGCTCTGAGCGGGGACAGCTGTCTCTGGTGAAACGGAGCTGGCCGCAAAGGTCGTAGAGTCCTGAGGGAAGACTCCTGGGGTGTTGTCCGTGCCCTGAGTGTCCTGTGTGGAAATCGGGTGGTTTGTGGAAGTTGAAGATTCCTCAGGTTGTGATGTGGTGTAGGTGGTCTCAGGGGGTACAGCAGTCTCTGTTGAAATTGTGGTGCTCTGGAGAGTGGTCCATTCCTGAGTGAACCCTGTTCCCTGAGAGCTCCTGGTTACTGGAGGTGCTTGTGTAGACACCAAGCCGCTCAGGGAGGTTGTGTGTGCCTCAGTGTGTCCTGTGGTTGGAGAGGTGTGAAGAGGAAGGGCTGTTTCTGTGGAAACCGCATGGCTGGGGAAGGTTGTAGGTGCATGAGTGGACCTTACTTCTGAGGTCTCTGTAGGTTGAGTTGCCTGTGTTGAGGTCAAGGTCCAATAGTGCGTTGTGGACGCCTCACTTACAGGTGAGGTGTGGGAAGTCTCAGTGGGTACAGGGGTTTCTGTTCCAACTGAGGGTGATGGGAAGAGGGTAGGTCCTTGAGTCAAGAGTGTTGTGGATGTCTCAGCGTCTTGAGTTGTTTGAGTAGAAGTTGGAATATGTGGTGAGGCTGTAGGCTCCTCAGTAACAGCTGAGGTGTAGGAGGTCTCAGGAATTCCAGCTGTTTCTGTGAAAACTGTGCTTGTTGGGGAGGCTGTGGACTCCTGAGTGAAGACTGTCGATTGTGGGATCCCTGCTGTTGAAGTTGGGTGGCTTTGGTAGGCCGTGGAAGCTTCAGTTGGGGCTGCAGTGAAGGACGTCTCAGGAGGTAGGGCTGTTTGTGAGGAACCTGAGCTGGTTGTAGCTTCCTCTGTGAAGACTGTAGTCTGCAAGGAATCGGTGTTTTGAGAAGAATGCGTGGAAACTGGGCTTCTTGGGGAGACTGTAGAAGGCTCCGTCAGGGCTGAGGTGTGGCTGGTCTCAGGAGGAAGAGCAGTCTCTGTTGAAATTGAGGTGTTCCGGAGAGTTGTGGCCTCCTGAGTGAAGACTGTTCCCTGAGAGGTCTCCGTGTCTTGAGTGGCCTGTGTTGAAAGCACGCCGCTCAGGGAGGTTGTGTGTGCCCCCAACTGTCCTGTGGTGGGTGAGGTGTCAGCAGTTGCAGGTGTTGGTGTGGAAACTGGACTGCTCTGGAATAATGTGGATTCCTTCACGTAGGCTGTTGTTTGAGACATGTCAGGAGCTTGAGTTGCTTGTGTGGAAATCGGGCTGCTAGGGTATGTTGTGGACGCCTGGGGTTGGTGGGTGGTGTGGGAGCTCTGAGCGGGGACAGCTGTCTCTGGTGAAACGGAGCTGGCCGCAAAGGTCGTAGAGTCCTGAGGGAAGACTCCTGGGGTGTTGTCCGTGCCCTGAGTGTCCTGTGTGGAAATCGGGTGGTTTGTGGAAGTTGAAGATTCCTCAGGTTGTGATGTGGTGTAGGTGGTCTCAGGGGGTACAGCAGTCTCTGTTGAAATTGTGGTGCTCTGGAGAGTGGTCCATTCCTGAGTGAACCCTGTTCCCTGAGAGCTCCTGGTTACTGGAGGTGCTTGTGTAGACACCAAGCCGCTCAGGGAGGTTGTGTGTGCCTCAGTGTGTCCTGTGGTTGGAGAGGTGTGAAGAGGAAGGGCTGTTTCTGTGGAAACCGCATGGCTGGGGAAGGTTGTAGGTGCATGAGTGGACCTTACTTCTGAGGTCTCTGTAGGTTGAGTTGCCTGTGTTGAGGTCAAGGTCCAATAGTGCGTTGTGGACGCCTCACTTACAGGTGAGGTGTGGGAAGTCTCAGTGGGTACAGGGGTTTCTGTTCCAACTGAGGGTGATGGGAAGAGGGTAGGTCCTTGAGTCAAGAGTGTTGTGGATGTCTCAGCGTCTTGAGTTGTTTGAGTAGAAGTTGGAATATGTGGTGAGGCTGTAGGCTCCTCAGTAACAGCTGAGGTGTAGGAGGTCTCAGGAATTCCAGCTGTTTCTGTGAAAACTGTGCTTGTTGGGGAGGCTGTGGACTCCTGAGTGAAGACTGTCGATTGTGGGATCCCTGCTGTTGAAGTTGGGTGGCTTTGGTAGGCCGTGGAAGCTTCAGTTGGGGCTGCAGTGAAGGACGTCTCAGGAGGTAGGGCTGTTTGTGAGGAACCTGAGCTGGTTGTAGCTTCCTCTGTGAAGACTGTAGTCTGCAAGGAATCGGTGTTTTGAGAAGAATGCGTGGAAACTGGGCTTCTTGGGGAGACTGTAGAAGGCTCCGTCAGGGCTGAGGTGTGGCTGGTCTCAGGAGGAAGAGCAGTCTCTGTTGAAATTGAGGTGTTCCGGAGAGTTGTGGCCTCCTGAGTGAAGACTGTTCCCTGAGAGGTCTCCGTGTCTTGAGTGGCCTGTGTTGAAAGCACGCCGCTCAGGGAGGTTGTGTGTGCCCCCAACTGTCCTGTGGTGGGTGAGGTGTCAGCAGTTGCAGGTGTTGGTGTGGAAACTGGACTGCTCTGGAATAATGTGGATTCCTTCACGTAGGCTGTTGTTTGAGACATGTCAGGAGCTTGAGTTGCTTGTGTGGAAATCGGGCTGCTAGGGTATGTTGTGGACGCCTGGGGTTGGTGGGTGGTGTGGGAGCTCTGAGCGGGGACAGCTGTCTCTGGTGAAACGGAGCTGGCCGCAAAGGTCGTAGAGTCCTGAGGGAAGACTCCTGGGGTGTTGTCCGTGCCCTGAGTGTCCTGTGTGGAAATCGGGTGGTTTGTGGAAGTTGAAGATTCCTCAGGTTGTGATGTGGTGTAGGTGGTCTCAGGGGGTACAGCAGTCTCTGTTGAAATTGTGGTGCTCTGGAGAGTGGTCCATTCCTGAGTGAACCCTGTTCCCTGAGAGCTCCTGGTTACTGGAGGTGCTTGTGTAGACACCAAGCCGCTCAGGGAGGTTGTGTGTGCCTCAGTGTGTCCTGTGGTTGGAGAGGTGTGAAGAGGAAGGGCTGTTTCTGTGGAAACCGCATGGCTGGGGAAGGTTGTAGGTGCATGAGTGGACCTTACTTCTGAGGTCTCTGTAGGTTGAGTTGCCTGTGTTGAGGTCAAGGTCCAATAGTGCGTTGTGGACGCCTCACTTACAGGTGAGGTGTGGGAAGTCTCAGTGGGTACAGGGGTTTCTGTTCCAACTGAGGGTGATGGGAAGAGGGTAGGTCCTTGAGTCAAGAGTGTTGTGGATGTCTCAGCGTCTTGAGTTGTTTGAGTAGAAGTTGGAATATGTGGTGAGGCTGTAGGCTCCTCAGTAACAGCTGAGGTGTAGGAGGTCTCAGGAATTCCAGCTGTTTCTGTGAAAACTGTGCTTGTTGGGGAGGCTGTGGACTCCTGAGTGAAGACTGTCGATTGTGGGATCCCTGCTGTTGAAGTTGGGTGGCTTTGGTAGGCCGTGGAAGCTTCAGTTGGGGCTGCAGTGAAGGACGTCTCAGGAGGTAGGGCTGTTTGTGAGGAACCTGAGCTGGTTGTAGCTTCCTCTGTGAAGACTGTAGTCTGCAAGGAATCGGTGTTTTGAGAAGAATGCGTGGAAACTGGGCTTCTTGGGGAGACTGTAGAAGGCTCCGTCAGGGCTGAGGTGTGGCTGGTCTCAGGAGGAAGAGCAGTCTCTGTTGAAATTGAGGTGTTCCGGAGAGTTGTGGCCTCCTGAGTGAAGACTGTTCCCTGAGAGGTCTCCGTGTCTTGAGTGGCCTGTGTTGAAAGCACGCCGCTCAGGGAGGTTGTGTGTGCCCCCAACTGTCCTGTGGTGGGTGAGGTGTCAGCAGTTGCAGGTGTTGGTGTGGAAACTGGACTGCTCTGGAATAATGTGGATTCCTTCACGTAGGCTGTTGTTTGAGACATGTCAGGAGCTTGAGTTGCTTGTGTGGAAATCGGGCTGCTAGGGTATGTTGTGGACGCCTGGGGTTGGTGGGTGGTGTGGGAGCTCTGAGCGGGGACAGCTGTCTCTGGTGAAACGGAGCTGGCCGCAAAGGTCGTAGAGTCCTGAGGGAAGACTCCTGGGGTGTTGTCCGTGCCCTGAGTGTCCTGTGTGGAAATCGGGTGGTTTGTGGAAGTTGAAGATTCCTCAGGTTGTGATGTGGTGTAGGTGGTCTCAGGGGGTACAGCAGTCTCTGTTGAAATTGTGGTGCTCTGGAGAGTGGTCCATTCCTGAGTGAACCCTGTTCCCTGAGAGCTCCTGGTTACTGGAGGTGCTTGTGTAGACACCAAGCCGCTCAGGGAGGTTGTGTGTGCCTCAGTGTGTCCTGTGGTTGGAGAGGTGTGAAGAGGAAGGGCTGTTTCTGTGGAAACCGCATGGCTGGGGAAGGTTGTAGGTGCATGAGTGGACCTTACTTCTGAGGTCTCTGTAGGTTGAGTTGCCTGTGTTGAGGTCAAGGTCCAATAGTGCGTTGTGGACGCCTCACTTACAGGTGAGGTGTGGGAAGTCTCAGTGGGTACAGGGGTTTCTGTTCCAACTGAGGGTGATGGGAAGAGGGTAGGTCCTTGAGTCAAGAGTGTTGTGGATGTCTCAGCGTCTTGAGTTGTTTGAGTAGAAGTTGGAATATGTGGTGAGGCTGTAGGCTCCTCAGTAACAGCTGAGGTGTAGGAGGTCTCAGGAATTCCAGCTGTTTCTGTGAAAACTGTGCTTGTTGGGGAGGCTGTGGACTCCTGAGTGAAGACTGTCGATTGTGGGATCCCTGCTGTTGAAGTTGGGTGGCTTTGGTAGGCCGTGGAAGCTTCAGTTGGGGCTGCAGTGAAGGACGTCTCAGGAGGTAGGGCTGTTTGTGAGGAACCTGAGCTGGTTGTAGCTTCCTCTGTGAAGACTGTAGTCTGCAAGGAATCGGTGTTTTGAGAAGAATGCGTGGAAACTGGGCTTCTTGGGGAGACTGTAGAAGGCTCCGTCAGGGCTGAGGTGTGGCTGGTCTCAGGAGGAAGAGCAGTCTCTGTTGAAATTGAGGTGTTCCGGAGAGTTGTGGCCTCCTGAGTGAAGACTGTTCCCTGAGAGGTCTCCGTGTCTTGAGTGGCCTGTGTTGAAAGCACGCCGCTCAGGGAGGTTGTGTGTGCCCCCAACTGTCCTGTGGTGGGTGAGGTGTCAGCAGTTGCAGGTGTTGGTGTGGAAACTGGACTGCTCTGGAATAATGTGGATTCCTTCACGTAGGCTGTTGTTTGAGACATGTCAGGAGCTTGAGTTGCTTGTGTGGAAATCGGGCTGCTAGGGTATGTTGTGGACGCCTGGGGTTGGTGGGTGGTGTGGGAGCTCTGAGCGGGGACAGCTGTCTCTGGTGAAACGGAGCTGGCCGCAAAGGTCGTAGAGTCCTGAGGGAAGACTCCTGGGGTGTTGTCCGTGCCCTGAGTGTCCTGTGTGGAAATCGGGTGGTTTGTGGAAGTTGAAGATTCCTCAGGTTGTGATGTGGTGTAGGTGGTCTCAGGGGGTACAGCAGTCTCTGTTGAAATTGTGGTGCTCTGGAGAGTGGTCCATTCCTGAGTGAACCCTGTTCCCTGAGAGCTCCTGGTTACTGGAGGTGCTTGTGTAGACACCAAGCCGCTCAGGGAGGTTGTGTGTGCCTCAGTGTGTCCTGTGGTTGGAGAGGTGTGAAGAGGAAGGGCTGTTTCTGTGGAAACCGCATGGCTGGGGAAGGTTGTAGGTGCATGAGTGGACCTTACTTCTGAGGTCTCTGTAGGTTGAGTTGCCTGTGTTGAGGTCAAGGTCCAATAGTGCGTTGTGGACGCCTCACTTACAGGTGAGGTGTGGGAAGTCTCAGTGGGTACAGGGGTTTCTGTTCCAACTGAGGGTGATGGGAAGAGGGTAGGTCCTTGAGTCAAGAGTGTTGTGGATGTCTCAGCGTCTTGAGTTGTTTGAGTAGAAGTTGGAATATGTGGTGAGGCTGTAGGCTCCTCAGTAACAGCTGAGGTGTAGGAGGTCTCAGGAATTCCAGCTGTTTCTGTGAAAACTGTGCTTGTTGGGGAGGCTGTGGACTCCTGAGTGAAGACTGTCGATTGTGGGATCCCTGCTGTTGAAGTTGGGTGGCTTTGGTAGGCCGTGGAAGCTTCAGTTGGGGCTGCAGTGAAGGACGTCTCAGGAGGTAGGGCTGTTTGTGAGGAACCTGAGCTGGTTGTAGCTTCCTCTGTGAAGACTGTAGTCTGCAAGGAATCGGTGTTTTGAGAAGAATGCGTGGAAACTGGGCTTCTTGGGGAGACTGTAGAAGGCTCCGTCAGGGCTGAGGTGTGGCTGGTCTCAGGAGGAAGAGCAGTCTCTGTTGAAATTGAGGTGTTCCGGAGAGTTGTGGCCTCCTGAGTGAAGACTGTTCCCTGAGAGGTCTCCGTGTCTTGAGTGGCCTGTGTTGAAAGCACGCCGCTCAGGGAGGTTGTGTGTGCCCCCAACTGTCCTGTGGTGGGTGAGGTGTCAGCAGTTGCAGGTGTTGGTGTGGAAACTGGACTGCTCTGGAATAATGTGGATTCCTTCACGTAGGCTGTTGTTTGAGACATGTCAGGAGCTTGAGTTGCTTGTGTGGAAATCGGGCTGCTAGGGTATGTTGTGGACGCCTGGGGTTGGTGGGTGGTGTGGGAGCTCTGAGCGGGGACAGCTGTCTCTGGTGAAACGGAGCTGGCCGCAAAGGTCGTAGAGTCCTGAGGGAAGACTCCTGGGGTGTTGTCCGTGCCCTGAGTGTCCTGTGTGGAAATCGGGTGGTTTGTGGAAGTTGAAGATTCCTCAGGTTGTGATGTGGTGTAGGTGGTCTCAGGGGGTACAGCAGTCTCTGTTGAAATTGTGGTGCTCTGGAGAGTGGTCCATTCCTGAGTGAACCCTGTTCCCTGAGAGCTCCTGGTTACTGGAGGTGCTTGTGTAGAAACCAAGCCGCTCAGGGAGGTTGTGTGTGCCTCAGTGTGTCCTGTGGTTGGAGAGGTGTGAAGAGGAAGGGCTGTTTCTGTGGAAACCGCATGGCTGGGGAAGGTTGTAGATGCATGAGTGGACCTTACTTCTGAGGTCTCTGTAGGTTGAGTTGCCTGTGTTGAGGTCAAGGTCCAATAGTGCGTTGTGGACGCCTCACTTACAGGTGAGGTGTGGGAAGTCTCAGTGGGTACAGGGGTTTCTGTTCCAACTGAGGGTGATGGGAAGAGGGTAGGTCCTTGAGTCAAGAGTGTTGTGGATGTCTCAGCGTCTTGAGTTGTTTGAGTAGAAGTTGGAATATGTGGTGAGGCTGTAGGCTCCTCAGTAACAGCTGAGGTGTAGGAGGTCTCAGGAATTCCAGCTGTTTCTGTGAAAACTGTGCTTGTTGGGGAGGCTGTGGACTCCTGAGTGAAGACTGTCGATTGTGGGATCCCTTCTGTTGAAGTTGGGTGGCTTTGGTAGGCCGTGGAAGCTTCAGTTGGGGCTGCAGTGAAGGACGTCTCAGGAGGTAGGGCTGTTTGTGAGGAACCTGAGCTGGTTGTAGCTTCCTCTGTGAAGACTGTAGTCTGCAAGGAATCGGTGTTTTGAGAAGAATGCGTGGAAACTGGGCTTCTTGGGGAGACTGTAGAAGGCTCCGTCAGGGCTGAGGTGTGGCTGGTCTCAGGAGGTAGAGCAGTCTCTGTTGAAATTGAGGTGTTCCGGAGAGTTGTGGCCTCCTGAGTGAAGACTGTTCCCTGAGAGGTCTCCGTGTCTTGAGTGGCCTGTGTTGAAAGCACGCCGCTCAGGGAGGTTGTGTGTGCCTCCAACTGTCCTGTGGTGGGTGAGGTGTCAGCAGTTGCAGGTGTTGGTGTGGAAACTGGACTGCTCTGGAATAATGTGGACTCCTTCACGTAGGCTGTTGTTTGAGACATGTCAGGAGCTTGAGTTGCTTGTGTGGAAATCGGGCTGCTAGGGTATGTTGTGGACGCCTGGGGTTGGTGGGTGGTGTGGGAGCTCTGAGCGGGGACAGCTGTCTCTGGTGAAACGGAGCTGGCCGCAAAGGTCGTAGAGTCCTGAGGGAAGACTCCTGGGGTGTTCTCCGTGCCCTGAGTGTCTTGTGTGGAAATCGGGTGGCCTGGGGAAGTTGTAGATGCCTCATATTGAGATGTGATATGGGTGGTCTCAGGATGGACAGCAGTTTCTGAGGAAACTGTAGGGGTTGTGAAGAGTTCTTGAGAGATTCTTGGGGATGTTTCAAGCCCTTCCGTTTTTTGTGTCAAAACTATGGTGTTTGGAGAGGTTATAGACTCCTCAGTCAGGGCTGAGGTGTAGGACGTCTGGTAAGATTCAGCTGTGTCTCTTGAAACTGAGCTTCCTTGGAAGGTTTCAGCTTCTGTGAGGAGGACTGTTGTCTCAGAAGCTTCGGGGTGTGGAACTGTCTGGGTTGTTAGGACTATTTTTTGAGGGACATCTGCTGTCTCTGCTGTGGCTGTTGACCTTGGGGTGCTTTGGTTAGGGTTCGATCCTTCATCTGGGGCTGTTCTTGGGGAGTCTCCAGTGGTCACCTGTGAGGGTGCTGGACTTGCTCTTCCTGACTCGGTTGTCTGTGCCTTTCCTGGGGCTGTAGTCTGAGAGTCTTCAGTGGCTAGAGAAGCGTTTGGTGAACTGTTTGTGGGTTTCGTTATGCCTGTTGCCTGGTTGCTCCCCGTGGACACTGTGGTGTGTGTTGCGTTTGTGGGGCTTGACAGTGTTGTGGATCCATACACACCCGAGTTTACAGCCACTGTAGTTGATGCTGCGGTGTGCTCTGGTCCTCCTTTTGGTTCACTTGTTGTTAACTCTGTAATTTGAAAGAATTAGGGAAGACAGGATGACTCAGCAATTTCTCGTCTTTTTTTTTTTTTTCCTCTCTTATTTCTGAGGAAGGGATGGGAGCTAGCTGTGTCTCCCACAAAAGTACAGGTTGTGGTCCTCACTGCCACCAGCAATAGGATCTCCTCGGTTCTCAGGCCCACATCCCATTTATGGGCTATGGGTGTGCTGAAGTCATGGAGTCCAGAGCTTACTGTGGTCCCCCGTCTCGGGTGGGGCACACAATTGTGCATGTGGCACGATTTCCTTAAAATAAAGATTGATTTATTATGTGTACAGTGTTCCATCTGCATGTATCCCTGTAGGCCAGAAGAGGGCGCCAGATCCCATTGCAGATGGTTGTGAGCCGCCAAGTGGTTGCTGGGAATTGAACTCAGGACCTCCGGAAGAGCAGTCAGTGCCTCTTCCCTCTGAGCCATCTCTCCAGTCCACAACACAATTTCTATGCCACATATTGTGGTGCCTAATCTTCACTGTCAACTTTACTGGATTCAGAATCACCTAGACACACTATTTCAGTCTATCTTTGAGAGAGTTACCAGAGAATTTTAGCTCAGGAGGGAAATCTTACTTGGGTATGAGTGGCACCATCCATATGGGCTAGGATCTCAGACTGAAAAATAACCTTTCTTCTGTTCGGTTGCTGTGGTCAGGTAATGTGCCACAGCAACAAGAAAAGTAGCCAGGTGCTGTGGACGCTTCTTAGTCTGAAAAAATGCTTGTGTGTGAGCATGAAGACACGAGTTTATATCCTCAATATCTACATGAAAGGCCAGGTAGCACACGCCTGTGACTCCAGCACTGGGGAGGCAGAGACAGGAGCGTGATAAGGGCTTACTGTACCACCTCGACAAAGCAGCACACTCCATGTTGAACAAGAAACCCTGCCTCAAAAAAGTGGGAAGTAATCGAGGAAGATCTCTATGTCAACCTCTGACTCCACAAGCACACGAACACACACACACACACACACACACACACATGCACGTACCATGCATTCACACACAAAGAGTATCTCATACAAATCAGAATACTATACCTGACTCCCATACATCTACCTAAGAATAGGCTGAAGATGTAGCTTGGTGGTAGGAACTTTACCTAGACTCTTCCAGTGAAGGGCTGGAGCTGGTGCTGGGGCTCAGTGGTAGAGCACTGCCTAGAATCTCCCCAGTGAGGGGCTGGGGCTGGATCTCAGTGGTAGAGCACCTGCCTAGAATCCCCCAGTGAGGGGCTGGGGCTGGATCTCAGTGGTAGAGCACTTGTCTACCATAAATGAAGCCCTAGATTCAATTCCCAGCACTCTAAACAAAATAAAGAAAACCTCAAAAGGAAAAGGAAACAAAAAGCAATCTTGTCGTCTTTTTTCTGAATTTATAATCCACATTTATAATTTCTAAACCTTAGGCATCGTTGCACCTTCTGCCTGAATCCCGCCGATTGGCGGTGTGCTGGTCAGCATCCTCTAATGTTCTGCAAGGCACAAGGTGGAGAAGCGAGGCCTGGAGGCAGTGTCCACACGGCACTGTGCCTGCGGGTGGTACTGCTCTCATGGCTCTCTGTGACTGTCTCTCTGAAAACAGGGCTCCCCGTGGTGACAGGGAACACCTCTCTCCTGGCGGCTCTGTTAACAAAAACGTGTCTGGCTTGGTCTTAGCACTAGGGAAACAGAGGCAAGGAGCATCTGTGAGCTGGAGGCAGGTCCTCTCCTCTCTTTTAGTGTGGGACGAGGTCTCCCCAGCTTGTGCAGACTGGCCTTAAACTCATTTCAGTCCGCCTGCCTTCACCTCCCAAGACGCTGGCACGACAGGCCTGTGCCACCAGGCCGCGCTTGGTTTTCACTTGTTTTCTTTTTATGTTTGGTTTGTGTTTGGCTTGGTTTGGTTTCCTACTAGGCAAATAAGTGTTGCATCACTGAGACACACCTTCTGTCTCTACTTTAAAAAAGGAGTGAGTGTTTGATTTTGCTTTCGTCTTTTCTCCCTGAGCTAAGGCTTGTCTCATTCAGCCTGAGGGTAAGAAGTCGATCTTGCCAGGCTAGAGTCGGGCCTCCCTCAGCAGTATATACAGAGACCGTGAACGGTTTCTCTCCAGACAGACAGAGACAGAGACAGAGACAGAGACAGAGAGACAGACAGGACAGAGAGACAGAGAGAGAGAGATAGACAGACAGAGAGAAAGAGAGACAGAGACAGAGACAGAGAGACAGACAGGAGAGAGACAGACAGACAGACAGAGACAGAGACAGAGAGAGAGAGAGAGAGAGAGAGAGAGAGAGAGAGAGAGAGAGAGAGAGAGAGAGAGAGAGAGAGAGAGAAGGTCTGGGTCGCATAACTGCAAACAAGTCACTTCCCTCCTGGCAGCTGAGTCTCGGAGGGTGTGCCTTCCCACAAAATGCCCTTCTTGGTCACCAGGGAACAAGTTCTCTCTCCTCCTGTTTCCTCCTGCGGCTCTCACTTGCAAAGCCCGCCCGCCTCCTCTCCTGGAGGCAGCCACTTCCGCGGCCACCCTGCCCTTGTGCATCTACAGGCGACCCCTTCTCAGTTCTGCGCCCACCCCTGTCCGACCGCGTTTCCGCTACACTCTGTTGCTCGGCACCAACCGCAGGAACCGCACCAAGTCCTGGAATCAGGACAAATCCGTCGGAAATCCTCAGATTGATGGCAAAGTGGGAGAGGCCAGGCATGGTGACACACTCCTTAGTGCCAGCGCCCGCAGGGCTGAGGCAGGAGGATCATGAGCTTGCGAAGTCCTCACGAAAACCTAAGGAAGAGCTGGACGGTGTAGCTCAGCTGGTAGCGTGATTCCCCAGCGTGTGCAGAGCGATGGGCTCCACGCTCGGCACTATTTAAGCCAGGCATGGGGTGAGTGACGACATGCCTATAACTGGAGCACTTGGGAGGCTGAGGCCAGCCTGAGCTACAGTGCATGGTCCTAGCTCAAAGATCCAGAGGAGGGCTGGAGAGATGGCTCAGAGGTTAAGAGCTCAGAGGCTGCTCTTCCAGAGGTCTGAGACCAATTCTCAGCAACCACATGGTGGCTCACAACCATCTGTAATGAGATCTGGTGCCCTCCTCTGGTATATAGGCAGAACACTGTATATGTAATAAATAAATCTGTAAGAGAGAGAGAGAGAGAGAGAGAGAGAGAGAGAGAGAGAGAGAGAGAGAGAGAGAGAGAGAGAGAGAGAGAGAGAGAGATCCTGTTCAAAAACGAACAAAGATCCAGAGGAAGATCTGTGGGTGTAGCTTGCTTGGCAGAGTGTTTGTTAGCACATGCTTAGCCCTGGATTCTATCAGAAGGTGGAGGCAAGAGGAGAGAAAGTTCTAGACCCTCCTCTTCTGCGTAGTACATTCCAGGCCAGCCTGGGCTACATAGCACATTCCAGGCCAGCCTGGGCTACAGGAGGCTCTATCTCAGAGAGTGAGATTGAGAGAGCAGGGGAGGGATGGGGAAGGAGGGAGGGAGAGAAGGAGGGAGAGGAGTCAGCGAGGGCGGGCACACTCCCTCTGACTCTAGTTCACCAAGGTTTAAAGGAGGAGGTAAAACGTAAGCTATCGTGTTTCCCTCCATCATAAAAAAGCTTAAAGAGGTGTTTCTTAGGTATATTCATGAATTTTACTGGACTTTTTACACTGAAACAAGGGACCATTATTGTTGTGAAAAGTCAAACAATAAAAAGGATGTAAGTGTAGTTTATGGCTGTTTTTCCTAACTGACTCACAAAGAGTGAATAGAAGAGAGGAGAGGTGGTTCTCACAGAGGACCAGCCAGAGCCCCAGTGCTCGACCTACCCGCAGAGGAGGCACAAATCCAGCTCTCTGACTACCATCCTAGAGAGAGCCCTGGTCCCTCCAGGGTGCAAACACCTTCGGAAAGAAGAGCGTTGTATCCATGCAGGGGACCCAAAGTCCATCTTCCTTTTTTTTTTTTTAACTGTTGTCCTTTTTTAAGACTACATATCAGGGCTGGAGAGATGGCTCAGCAGTTAAGAGCACTGGTTACGCTTCAAAAGGACCTGGGTTCATACCCAACATGGACAGGGTGACTCACTGTGTGTGACTCCAACTCCAGGAGACCCCAATCCTCTTCTGCCCTCCCTAGACCCCAGGTGATCATGGGGTACACAGACATACATTACATGCAAGCAAAACACAAAGAAAGTAAAACTTTCACCAAGCAAGACCAGCCTGGTCTCCAGAGCAAGTTCCAGGACAGCCAAGGCTATACAGAAAGACCCTCTCTCAAAAAACAAACAAACAAAAAAGCAGAGTCTGGCTATGCAAGCCAGGCTCAACCCAGGCCCAACCGGGGCTGGCCTGACACTCAAGACCCTCCTACCTCAGACAGTCAAGTGTGGGATTGCAGGCACGGGCCACCAGGCAGTTCTGGGAATGCAACCCACTCTATTAACTGAACCATTTCCTCAACTCCCTCACAGATCTCTGACAAGACCACCACAGACAAGCAGGAGAGAAATTAGGCTCCCTCTCTCTCCAGTGTGGCCCAGCTATAAATAACTCCCATTCCCCTTCATCAGTTTCTATTTCCTACCTTTAGACACAGGAGAAGTTACCAAGTGCTGGGTTACAGACATTGACTGCCCAGTAACACACTTCTTTTTCTAGAATCTCTTGTCGTTGTTATTAGCCAAGATATCCTTAATTCTTTATGGTCCTTTGTGACTTGTTGCTTTTTGGTTGGTTGATTTTTTGGTTTTTTCTTTTCTGTGTGTGTGG